AAACAAGCAAAAAGGATACTTTTTGAGTACATAAAAATGTAAAACTTCTGGCCCTCCTGGTGGTGCAGCAGGTTGAGACACAGCACTGCAAGCTGGCTGCAGCAGCTTTAGTGCAAGTTCAACCCCCAGGCCCGGAGGTGACCCACATGGTGCAGCAGACCTCTCCTGACTCACCCGCTGCTTCCCTCAGCAGTGTACTTCGTCAGTGGGCCTGTTCTGCTCCCCACTCTGTCTCTGCTGAACCCTCTCACACTCCTGCACCTCTGGCCTGTACCCCAATTCTGTATGCCTAAATAAATCTTTTTTAAAAATTAAAACTTCTGTATACCCACTATAAACAACGCCAATAGACAACTGTCAACCAAGCTTTTAAAAGCCTGTAACATACGACAGAGGGGTCAGTCACTCCTTGTGGAAACCACCAATATTCTAATGAAGTCACAAAGGTAGAAATGTCAGCCAAAGTACTATGTTCTGTTTTCACAGCAATCAAAGAGATGGAAATTGCAACAAGGTGAAAGACATTTCCAGCATCGTGAGAATAAAAGGAAAAAGGCATGTGTTTTTGTTTGTTTGTTTGTTTGTTTGTTTTTAAAGGCATGTACTTTTTTAGGTGGTAGCTTAACTTTCTGGAATACTTGGTAATATAAAAAAATTCAAACACTGAAAACCACTTAAATTATCCTTTAGTTGTGAGAGTTTATCCAGTGCAAATCCTTGGCGCATGTGCTCAGAAAAGAGTACAAAGATGCAAGATGCAGCCCTGGTTATAACAACCACACCGTCCGTGAAGTTATGTATCATCAAATCAGGCAACAGGTGACCCGGCACGCAACCCACAGAGAAGATGCAATCAGAGTTTCAGACGTAAGAAGGAAACAGCATCTAGCCTTCAGGAACATCTAATGCCAAGACACCTCACGGGGGAATGCTCTGCCATAACCACAATGCGCACAAGGAGACCAAAGCTCCGAGAGGGTAGCGACTTGCTCCGAGTCACGCCAGGAACCAGCAGATGAGGATGGGCACCCAGGTCTGTGTGAAGCTGAAGTCCGTGCTCTTCTTCCCACATCCTGCTGCCCTCTGCTTCAAATTAGGTGAAAACACAGTTTAAAAACACAAGCCTTTCCTGCCCCACATTGACAAACATCCCTGCAGTTTTCCTCCATGATGGTCCAGTCAGCTCCTCGTGTAAGAGAATGAAATCAGGCCAGAGCAAAGGTTAATGTTCATGTCAGTTATTTATTTGTCATTCTAAAGACTAAGCACATTTACAGCATACATGGCTTTGAATGAGCTAAGAATATATAAAACGGTAACTCTATGTTTATATATATTAATACTGCCCAAAACAAATAAATAAAAGAACTTTAATGCACTAAGCTTGGCGAATACAATTGTGTAGGGACAAAACTGTATTGTACAATATTTATACATTTTTAAAGGAAACCAAAGGCAACCGTGCTGCAGGTGCTTGATGAAATCCGTGTCAATCTGGGTTTCAGTAATCTCAATGTTTCTTTTTAAATTGTGGGGGTGGGGGGTGGGGTGGGGGGTGAGGCCTTTGAGGAACACTGGATGGCGCCCCTCTTGTATGGCAACCTGTAAAACAGCCATCTTCTGCAACTGAAAACTCACAGCTCTGAAGTGACCCAGGGGCTATTGTCCACCACACCCTGCAATGTATCCTTTGCTCAGCAAGCCTGGCAAGGTGTGATGCCACCGTGAGACTGCGCCATATCAGAGCCCAGCAGTAATGCTCAAAGATAATGCTGAAACCTGAAAATTTTCTATATGATTAGCCAAGTCTTAGAGTTTTATAGTGTCCCCTAATAGGAAGCCAAACCTGGGAAAAGAATTTCCCACATGCAAACTGCTAGGAGGTGACTCAACATTTGCCGTATCCCTTTGACAGATGCAGCTATTTAATGCTCTTCAGACAAAACAAAATCTGAAAACATCATGGATGACATTTAAGTAAAAAGGCAGGGAGCCTTTTTTTAAAAAGGTAGTAATGTTAAAATGAGAAAAGATGGAAATATAGAGATAACTACAGAAATTATAAATGCAGTGGAGGAGAAGTACAAGGCTGACTGAGCCATACTGGAAACTACGTGTCTTTGAACAGAGACAACTGTTGGGAGAATCGGACACCAGCTGCTGCCACCTCTCTGAGGCCTTGGCAGGTGGGGGCTTCTCTGTCCCAGCCTCCACGGCGGGCGTCGCTTGAGAGGGAATGAGGAGCTGCGCCCACCCTCACTGATGTGTCCCTCACAGTGCACACTCAGGCAGGACCTCTCCCCGGCAGCGGGGACAGAGCCCGGGGCTGTCTGCGCACTGACTGCTGAGGGAGGGTTCGGAGGGTGTCCAGCTCCCCCTTCCCTGATGCCATGCCATTTGTGTCTTGCCGATGGGCGGCCTGGCCCACACCCAGCTCCCAAGACACAACCTGTTACGTGTTTCCAAGTGGCATTTCAAAAGGAATAATATCTAGAATTATAGACATGGGAATTTTCTAAAGATTCACAAATCGTTAGGATCAGCATCATGTATAAATATCACACATACTTTTTTTTACAACCTTTTAAAATAACATGTAAACATAAGCATCGTAAAACACATAATTAATAAAACATACAGCTACAAAAAAAACTCTGCTATGTGCAGATAAGATACATCATCTCATAATAGATGACCAGACATAATTTTCTATGAAACTTCTAAGTTTTATGGTCCATTAATCCCTTTCAAAATATTACTTGAAGAGATACTTTCAACTTTCTCAAGAGTCATCTGACAATAACAGAGGATAGTAAAAATCATTGCCAAACCTAAAAGACACAATCAGACATTCAAACATGGTTGTATGGTTCATAGATGATAAACTGGGAAACCCACAGGAGGGCCTCTGTTCTGAACATCCTCAGGCTCCCACCACGCTCTACAAACATAAATGCCTCTGTTCACATGAGAGGTCTCGGAGTGACTTAACTCAGCATCCGGAGAAAGGGAGATATGCCCTAGGGGCTGGGGGCCGAGACAGGGAGCTTAGAGCGGGAGCCAGCCAGCGTCACGTCCACAGGCAGACACTCTAGTCTGTGACTCACAAGGGACAAGAGAGGCTGATTGCACTGTGTGGGTGAATGTCATTGTGTCGCTTTCTAAAATAGTTTTATCTCAGGCTGATGTTTTAGCTTTCCCTTCAACTTCTGGTAACATGACATTATAGACAGAATATCTATCTATACATTATAGCAGGATATTTCACTGCAGGAGACAGTGCTAGCTTTTTTCTTACCCAAAACTCAAGTTAACATCTAAAATGTGTTGGTCTGCCCAGGATCCAATTACTTAATATATACTTAGTGTTTTACATTCATATTTTTAAAAATTAGATTGTAATTCATTGTTTAATTTTCACTGAGTAGAAAAATAAGTTCAGTGAGCAACTGCTCAAGTGGGTATTTAAAAAAGTCTCCTAGCATTTCGGACCTCTCTAACTTGATTATATAGGTAACGATCCATGACACTGAGTGTTTAGGCTGAAGGCTACTGAACTGGGCAGTGGTTACTATCCACACTACTGAGTCAAACATTACCTCCTACTGATTCCAAAGCGGGAGGAAGGGGACGAGACATGCTCCATAGATTCTTTAGAGAAATATTTTTAAAACACAAAAATTAAAACCAATCCTTCAGGTCTTCTTGAAGAATTCATATATGACACTAGAGGGTACCCACATTTATTATGTAACAGCTAATTAGAGGAAACCATGTGTTCATGTTTCAACTTTTCCGTAAGTCCCTTCGGGAGGCCTGTAATGCTTGGGGAAAGCCTTCAGCTGCAGGGAATTAAATGCATATTTGCGACTTCCAACATTCTTCATTGTATTTTCTCTTCGACAACCCTCACTGAGGAAAAAACAAGCACAAGAAATGACAGCAGTAAAAAAGGAAAAAAGAAAAGACTTAAACTAAGATGAAATGAACTGGTTATTTTCATAGCATTAAAAAAAAGGTTGATTAATTTAAATGGGTGCTGGACTCATTTACAACAATACACATGTAAGATGGCAGGTTTCTGAACAAGGCAATTAAGAAGCACAGAGATGAACACATGCTGTATGGACTGCGAGTCTTGCATTTCCACAAGCAGCACTTGTATCTAAGTGGAAGCGAACTTACATTTACAGTAATGCGTTCATGTATTTCATGTCTCATTATTTGAGGGTTCTATCAGAATTAGTGGTTCAAAGATTCTGGTACATAGCAAATTAAATGGAAAGAGAACTAGTGCTACTTTTATCAAAGCCTTTAGAGAACTGCATTTTCTATATTAGCAATAGTTGTTAATTATCTCAAATTCAAAAGGCTGTTTCCCCGCAGAATTCAGTAAGTAGCATAGCCATGTAGCTGACAAGGCTGCTCTCACACTGTTTCCACCTCGGAGATAGCTGTCCTGGGTGCAAAGCAACCTAGCAAGCCTGTGCAAAGGCTGCATGATAGGTCTGCACAGGTCTCCAGGTGGCAGCCAGCCACCTTCTCCAGGTACACTGCCCTCATCGTGGTCACCTCTCACAGGAGATCCAATGAGAGCTCACAGATGCCTTTCCCTAAAGAACCTGCTGCCTGCATCATCCCCTGTGGCATTTGACGGAAGGTTGTCATGGCAACACAGTGGGCAAAGCAAATGCTGAACAGGAGGATGAGCCATCAGGCAGGTCTCACGTTCCCAGATGAGAGCATCAGGGGAGTTCTCTGGGAAATGATCTGGCATACACACAGAATTCATGGGCATTCTAAATATAAATGAGTTCCTACCACACAGTCTAACTTTGTATTTCTGTATTATTCTAAGGCCAGCAATTAAACCTTTAGTTATCAAATTTAGTATAAAATCCCCCTTATGAGATGTAAAACCTGTTACCAAGAAACAGTGATTAAAAAAATATTTCAAATTGTGTGAAGACCATTATGTCATGCATTTTAAAAAAATATCAGTGGCAATTGCTCAAGCCTTTTAAAGTGAAAATGACAGTTTCGTTATCAAGAACATGTAAAATATTTTTGGTAAGACAGTAATTTTATTCCAAAGATAAGCTCAGGTAATTTAAAAAAGTATCCACCTGCTTATTATTAACTGACTTAGTAGCTCAGACAGGCTTCCTGCCACCAGCCTCAAGTCCTTCGCCAGATGCGTTATTTGAGCTGAGTGCCTAGACTGAATAAGCAAAGAACCCCTGAATCAAGTAATGATTATCTTTGACTAACACTCAAGAACCAGAGAAAAATATAATTCTATTTAAAGCAGAAACTATAAGTTTCTATACACAATGGATCTCCCTTAACCTTTGCCAAGCTCTTACATTACAGTCCTATTTCAGATATGGCCTCTGCATTTATTTAGCAATATACATACTTCTCAAAAACCACCTATCACTACTAAATGCCAACCTGCCTTGAAGAGCAAAGAAGAATAATTTGTGGACTTTGACATTACATTTTATTGACATGTTAAAGAAACTATTGGTTTAGCTGGCTGAAAACACATACAAGAAATTAGCAAGATAACACTTCCAACTTAATTTTAAAATCCAAATGTATTTATTTTTCTTCAAATGCCTGAATTTGGTTTGAAGTTACACACTCTGACTGTGCTGACAGGATCGTGGGTTTGCATGGTCTGCATGTGACGGTCAGCTCTGGCACCCCATGCCTGGGAGCATGGTGTGGGGAGGGGCGGGCACGCCTTGGAACTGGCACCTGCTGCGGCAGTTCAGCCTCCGGTCCTAAAGCAGAACACCTACACGGATCGCGTGGTCTGCATAATCCTTAGAAGGCGCTAACAACACATAAACCTATCCAATCCTTTTGGGTAGATTTTAGAAAGAGGGACCTAATTATTTCAAAGCCACATATAATCATTTTTTTCAAGGACATCTATTTTTGAATTGGAAACTCAAAAAGGCTAACTCCAGGGAAACCTCTCGTTTGCTTTCCCGGGGGATCGTCCATTTTGGAATTCGCCTGGATGCATCAACATCCCAGGGATGCCATGTAGATTTGCCTGCCACTGACAGTGCCTCAGCACTAACTTTCAGCCTAGAGGCGATGGAGGGAGCATTGCTAAATAGCTATGCTCAGCCTGTAGCCTACTATCCTACCTATTTCTCACTAAAGCAGAAAAGATCTGAACATAAAGTTAGCCAGCTTTAATGAGTAAAAGCTGATAGTGACAAAGCCTTTTACTCACAAAATCAGCATAAAGGGCAAGCATATTGAGTTTCTTTTCTCAGATATACTAAAGAAAAACAACAGCCTGGGCTGATCTCACGGTGTCCTTTCTGATGGCTAGTCCTCATTACTTCAGGCAGAATACACTGTCTTTTAACTCAACCCTGAAAAGAAAAGCAAAGAAACATCCTCTTTCTTTCTACATTTTTCTCTCAAGTTGGCAAATGTGTAGAAGGCCTGGCTGGCACCATGTCAGTCCAGGAACCGGCTTTGATGTGTGTTCAGCCCCCTCTGGGGTGCTGCTCTAGCTGGTGATCCTCCTGTCCATGCTGTGGGTGCTGGGAGGAGGATCTCTGGAGATGAGGGGTACCTCTGTAGTCAGAAGGGCCTTCTGCCTCTATGCCTGGTCTCTGCTCACCCAAACAGGTGTCCCTCCCCAGGGGTCAGTAGGGGCCACCAGCAAGGGGCATCAGGAGCGCTTCACCAGAGCAGGAGCTGAGAGGCTATGGACTGGGAACTGAATGGACTGTGGCCTACCTTTCTTCTTTCAAGTACATTTAAACAAAATGGGCTTGGAAAACTGATAGTGCAGCTCCAGTTGAAACGAGGTGGAGGTGAATGTCCCTTTCAAAGGCTCACAGACGAGGCAGGATGCTGCCGAGTGACCTCTTACTGTAACAACACCATGAACCACTTGGGACTTGGTGAGAGATTCCCTCCTGAAGGATGCTGGGAGCTGTCCCAAAGAACAGCTTCCTCACTTATTCTAGAAAAGAGAAAGTGACCATACTGCCCTTGTGAGAAGAGTAGACTCATCAACAGGCATGAGACTCGTCCTAGGGCACCTGCATGCTCAGGAGGGCTATGAAAAAAGGGTGTGTCAGAGGTTTTAGAATTGAAAGTCTGAATCTTGACTAAACTGTTCATTTTTAACTGCTTCAACAATTCTTTGAACCTGGAATTGAACTGGCATCCTTGAACTGGCTCTTGTGCCACACCAGAGACATCCCAGAGTGAGTTCTGGAAATGCTGGAGAAAAATTTGAGAAGCCATGTTTTCTGGAGAACTAACTATGTATACACATGGATATAAAGTTTCCAGGAAGCTTCTCTAAATTTACTCCAGTTTTTCTAGATTGGTGCTAAAACAAAACATAACAAAACAAAACAAAAAAAACCGCTTTCACAAAACACAGTGTCTGGGGGACTAACTGTAAATCAAAAACAGGAGCACAGCATTAATTTAAACAAAGGCGCCACTGACTACTGCTTATACACAGTCTGTGACATTTCCCCAATATATCCTTAAAAATACACATAAATAGGTATACAATTACATTTCTGCCACATATTAATGTTAAGGTTACAAATCTTCCTTTTTATGGACACTGCCATGTTAAGAGTGATAATAGCAGAAACCAAAGCAACCATCACCATCTAGAACAACTGCCCAAAAGTTAGGCTTTTTAGGATTTTTCTTTTTTGTTGTTATTAACCACATTGGATTTGTAAGCGAGAAAATTTATCTGTGCTTTAATCTGAAATCAAAGTTATAATTTTTAAACGAAAAATACTAGTTTAAGAAAAATTAATGTATATAACTTTAACAGCCTTTTGTTATTATATATATTAATTCCCATAGTCAGTTTAAAGATTTTTAAAGAGTTAAAAGCATAAATGGAAAGTTGCATGCAATATGTTATTTTCATGTGCCTGACATGGTAATAATGTGCCAGTGTATTCATAGCTTTAAGTCATCCCAAACTGCAAATAATAAACATAAGCGAGGAAATGTTATGATTCTGCAAGCTGCTTGCTACTGTGATTGAAGAGACTATGCTTTGAAATGGAAGTAGAAGGTACAGGTCCTATTAAATAGGTTGATCTAGATGAGTCAGTTAGGAAGCAATTACCCTTTTCACTTCTCTTCAGAAGATAAGGAAATGGTTAGCAACACATTTAAAGAATAGTATCAAATATACAAATTCTTTTCAGACAGAATTCTTTTCTCTGGGAAACAGGGCACATGAGATATACAGGAAATAAATAGTTTTACATCAGAAGGTAAGAGATTTGGTACAAGTAACTCTAGGCCAGCTAAACAATGCAGTAACAGGCACTGTAAGAACATGTTACAAGCACTGAAAATTCTACAGAATTTAAATAAACAAGTCCTCTTGGTGAAATAATTTGGCAGGTGTTTACAGTTCAGAACAACAAAACGTCAGACTGTAAGGCATGAAATATTTCTTGGTAGACCACGCTTTGACACATTCCTTCTGTCCAGTTAGGTACACATATTCTGGCACTTTTATTTTTCTTGTGACTTAATTAATTTTTCATAATATATTCATTTACAACGCAATTTGGTCACCAGGTATGCTATGCTCAGGAAAAGCCACACAATCAGTAAATTGGGGCTCAGCGCTAATAAAGGTATGGAACAGAGGAGGCTGGGGTCTAGTCTTAAGTCTCGGATGGGCACCAGGCCGCTCAAGTTCTTCTGGGTGACTACCTCCCGTGTTCCAATGCTGTGAAAAGGAAAAAGTTTGGGAGAAAGGAAAAGAAAAAAGAGTAAATAAAGAAAAAAGAGAGAGACGTGCAGTGGGTTTCATCAAAATTATGGGAAAAGGAGAGAAACAAAAGGTAAGATTTTTTAAAAAATGGAATGAAGCCACAACAGAAAGAAATGGTGGTATGCAGAAAAAGGTGTGAAAGGAATACCAAACAAAACCAGCACAGTTACAAGAAAAAAAGGAGAGAAAGATAAGTGAAAATAAGGAAAAATACTGTTGTCTACTGAAAACAAACACGTGTGTAGGTTGACTAAATGGTTTTCCATGTTCACTCTCGGCTGGCCAAGCACAAGTCCAAGCTGCCCTGCCATGCTCTCACATGCTGCGAAGACATGGATCTCAGAAAAGCAAGCTGAACATGAAGAACCATTGGGGAATTTGACCTTCTCACAGATGCCTGAGCAGGTGGTGGTACAACTGGTTTTACCAAAGCTGCCTCTTGATCACCCATTCAAATGACAACCGTTTACTTCAAGTATCCACCAAAGCCAGAGCCCTCACCAGACTCACCTTGGCTTTCAGGCTAAGCAGTGGCCAGGCATGAGCTACTGGTTATCTCCAACTGTTCAGGTTACTGTTCTACAAAGATGATACCCATGAATGGAATCCAGGGGAGCTCATGCTGAAGTTTAGGCTGGGGGCGGGGGAGGTCTTCCCCTTTTGGTGCTAGAGGAGAAATACACTGAGGGGAGATTTCAGTAGAATCACACTACTCTGGAACCACGTGCTCTGTGCTTGTCTTGGGAAGTGGCAACAGTGACACCGAATCGGAGGGCCAGGACTGTGGGTCCACTTGGAGACTGGCAGGCAGGAGGCCCAGGTACCTTCCGTAAGTCAGTTCTCAAGGGTTTTTCCAGAGGAGCCTGAGAGCCCTGGAACAGTCCTGCTGGGATGTGCTATTCGGATGCTACGAGTACTGGTGAGGCAGCACACCCCAGCCAGGACAGTTCAGTGGGTCACTGTGGCCACTTAAGAAGGTCCCAATTTGGTGAATGTTCAGCCCCAGGATTGGAGACAGAGCTGGAGTTGATTCGGATGGCACGCAACAGTTGGGTGTACACTTTCTTTCCAAAGCCACACTCCGCTGGTGTCACGCCGGTAGCTTAAAATGAGTCCTTGTGACTGAATTTATACTGCAGAAATTGGCAAACATGAGAGCTTTTTGGTTTTTTGAGGTAGAGAGAGCTGGTTGTTAAGACATTTGCTAGCACAGCTGGCACTAGCCACTGCTCACCCTGGACCTCCAGGAAAAAGATTTGCTCCCATCCCACTCTTCCCGAACCCATACTCCCATCTACATGCGCTACTCTTCCATCTGAGAGGATGCAAGCAAAAAAGCAAGAGAACCAAAATGCATTTCTCCACTCAAGGCGAAGGCATGACCAATATTACTGGAGCCTCCTTAGGGCTCTTTCTGAACCACAGGCACTGCCACCACTGCGGTCAGAAATAATAACCAATGACCCGGCCACTTGTGGCTCGCCGTCTGTAACCGAACACATGTCTTCCTCACATGGGATAAAAAGTCAGGAGTGACAGCGTCACCCTGGAACAAACGTATGTGGCAGTAGCCTGAGGTGGCTGCGGGAGCAGGAGGCCAAGGCGGCAGTGAGCACAGTGCCCTGGCCGGCGCGATGGGGAGTCAGGGCCAACCTGGGCAAAATGTGATCCAGCTTTCTTACTTGTAACAGCTTTCTAGATGATTATCCAGGTAAGACAAGCTCACTGCAGACAGTTATTTTAATTAAGAAAAACAAAGTTTAGAAACTTTTGAAAGCCTCCCACAGTGAAGATGGGCAGGGTTTTAAGAGACGGGAGGCCGGGGAACAGTGTCGGTTCCCATGGGAGGAAGGCCCTTCACTATTCAGGGTCTGCAGTCTGAGGTAGGAAAGCAACAGCAACTTTACAGACTCAAAAGGGCTCCGACCAGAGACAGGGACAACAGCACCAGAGGGTGAGTGCGTAGGCATTTGCGACACTGTGGGTGGGAGTGTGACTGATGTGGGAGCAATTTAGTGATTTGTATTAAAAGGCCTCACAACGGTATATACTTTTTAATCTAAGGAATCGGTGGGGCAAGTGTGGAAAAGCAGAATGCATGAAGATACTCTCTGCACATTGTCTAAAATGCTAAAATAATGTATACAGTTTAGTCAGTGACAGCAAATTGATAAGCTACAGTCTACCCCAAATGCTGAGGTTTGTATTTACTAACCTGAAAAAACGCTTACAAGACAGTTAAGTTTGGGGCGAGGGGGCTGGGGGAAGCAGGCTGAAGCAACCCATAACTGGATTTGTGCACGTCTGCGTGTTTGTGCTGAGTATTGCTCAGAGTGGTTAGCCATGATCACATCCATATGTGTCAGGCATGTGTCTGCCAAAGACACATCCCTATGTGTGAAAGAGTACGCATCAATGCTTAACACTGCTGCTGTTAATAGCAGGATACCAGGGGTTTCTTTCTGTGTGGGGTATGGGTTAGTGTCTGTGTGTACACACTATCTGCATTTTCTTACTTTCCCACAAGAAACATGAATTACTTATGTGATATAGATCACAGAAAGTGCCTGGCATATTATAAACCATAACAGTTATTCTTGTGTGCATAGGGGCTGTGTATCCAGCCTCACAGGGGTCCACAGATGGGGGTCACTGACAGCTGGAGGTTCAAAAAATTCACTTCCTAGGCAGTGCACTCACAGATAAGCTGATGTTCCCCAAAGGAAGGCCAAGGAGACCAGAAGTTCAGCTTCTGCCCAAAGGGCAGCTTGAAGTGCCAGGCTCCAGACTCCAGGGGGCATCAGCCAGTTCTGAGGCTCTATGAAATGAGGGGTGAGACTCACTGTGTCTGTAAGGAGTCACTTTCTCTCTGGTCTCTGGATTTTTTTTGTACTCAGATACCATCAAGGTAATTTTCATGGAATTTCTTCAAGTGGTCAAGTCTGGCCAGAGGCCTGCCTATCACTGAACATGCCAGGCTCTGGTCAGCAAACAGATCTGATTCTAACTGCTCTGCAAACCACGTGGACACCCTCCCTATCTTCTTGTTTCTTGTTGGTGAAGGTCTGCATCTCACAGAGCGGCCTCTCCTCCCAACTCACAGTTAACAGAGCACAGATGTCCTCAGAAGCCGGGGCTCCGCACCCCCTGACACCAGGGACACTGAGTCTGAAGGGCACTGAGACTTCACGAACACAGCCCTTAGTCAGGGTGCCCTGGGACACAGGTCTCCGAGTCACCATTGCATCCACGAGGTCAGGGCCTACATGCCTACCAAAAATGCATAAACGGAGGCCCTGAGGTAACAAAGATGAACTTACAAAGACAAAACAGGAACAAACAATTCCATTTTTACACATTGTTATCAAGAGGCAGGAGCTCAGGCATCGCTTTTGTATGAGAAGGTCAAATGGTAGAAACATACAGAAAGGATAAGAGAATTGAACGATTTAAAGTATTTGGTGAGAGGACAAATGATACAGAACATTCAGTAGAAGTGACTGTTGGAAACGAGACTTTAACAGCATTGGTGACTACATTGAAGGAGACGGGAAAACCAGGTTTCTTATCCTTTCTTTTGGTATGTGAGGTAAGGTGCTCCCCAGCAGTGCTTGAAACAAGGCATCGATCAACAGGAGACAGAGTTTTAGTCCAGGGTTTCATTCTGCAAACACGCCTGCTGCCTCAGAATCAGAACATCATTAGGGTGAGGTGGCCACGGCACATGGACAGGTGGGCGGGGCTGGCTGCTGCCCTTACCGAGAACGCTCACTGGACAGAACTTTGCTCAGAATAGCAAACTGTGTGGACTGCTAGAGAAGAAGCAGAGTAAACCGATGCAACCTGCAGATACTTTTCTTCACTTAAGTTGGAAAAGTAGCAGATGCCTGCTGAAAAGCACTGGCCTGGAGTCACACCCATGGCAAGGTAGGTGGTTAGGGACCGCCACGTGCATGGCCACATCAAAGCTCCCATGTAATTTTCTGACCCCTAAGTCCACTATTGAGTCTTCCCAGTTTCAGTGCAGTCCTGCTCAGAGACTGCCAACACTTTCTCCCCCTTGACTTAAAAGTGAACTGGGCTCACTTCGATAGTGCCAATAGTTTGACTTTGCAGACATGAATGAGTTTTCCAAAGTCAAACTACAACGTGACAGCTGTAGTCAAGGGCACTTGTGCCTTGGGGGTTCTAAGGGGGCTCGGGCAGGCAGCAGCAGGACCAGCTCATCTGCAGTTTACACGGAGCCCAAGGGGGTGGGGAGGGCGGCGGGCAGCAGGACTCACCTGCGCATGCACTCCAGGGCCTGGGTGAACACCTGTGGGGCCATGCCGTGCTCGTGCTGCAGGATCAGGCACTGCTCCAGCGTCACAGACATGGCTGTGCGGTCCTTGGCGCTCTTGCAGCTGGTGAACCGAACCCCATTAAGCCGGCGGCAGATCTGCCAACAGGAAAACAGGCTGCTCTTAGAGGGAGACCTGCAGAATGGGAACACCCTTCACAAGGACGGAGGCTCAGGTCGGCCCGGCAAAGGCATGTGGCAAGACAGTTCCCAGGCCTGGCTATTCCCTCTGCTTCTGCCCTAGAACCCCATGTCCCATCAGAGCTGTAACAGAAACCAAGTCACTTATAAAAGATGAGCTCCCTGTGCTGCCTGTAGGTCTGCCTCTTACCCTTGGTCACCGTCATGGGCCTTCTGGCACAGGACACACTGCTCCCTGAAGCACTGCCATCCGCTTGCTGGCCTTGCCAGCTACCTTCTTCAAAGATATGCCCGGGTCATCGTTTCATGTTCAGCGCTTTGCTGCTGACTTCTCAGGAGAAGAGGACCAAAAGGCCAATTCAGGGAGAACAGAGCAGCTCAAAGGATGTCCAGCCCGGCTCAGGCCTTTCTGGAAGGCGCAGCACAGACTCAGGGTCTCTTCTCGCCCACATCTGCACACACTGGAGCAGAACACCCATGTTCTTTTAGTCACCTCCTGACACCTGGCTCCCCTGCCATCCTCCACCTCATTGGGGTCTGGCACAGGATTAAGCACCAATGCCTCTTCCCCTCACAGGAGGGCTCCCAAGGGGCTAGGGGAAGGAGGAGGCTCTTAACTGCAAAGCCCACCTCAGGCCAAGTGCATATGGATTCCCTCTAACCCTAAGTACACAGCCCTACATCCAGGGCCAAAGGAGTATGTGTGAGTTTGTGGCAACCTCATTTGGCAGCACAACCAGTTCTGGATGGATGGGAAACTATTGATATTCTCTATCCACTTTCGCATAAATATTCATGTTTCAAAAGAGCAGTATTAATGGATCTGATTCCAGAGTGCTGCGCCCAGAGACGTTAAATCATGCGTGTGTCATGCCACACAGGGGTGACGTGTACTAGGTGGCATCTTCCTAAAATCTGGAAGCCATGAATTCCAAGACATATAGACACAGGGCTTCAGGGAAGGGCCTAGGAGCCTAGACAAGACACTGCGCCATGAGAACAGCACTGGGATCAGTGGAGAATCCAGATGACAGTGGGCACCAGCAAGCTACCAGCACCACTGCAGACTGCCCTGAAGACTGCACTGCACCTGCCTCTCTGGCCAGCGGAGCCACCGCCAGGGTGGCAGCAGGTAGGGACACATGGTGCAGTGCACAGAAATGGCCCAGACCAGTTCAGCCAGCATCATCAGGAAAAACACAGTCTTTTGAAAACAGGCAAGATACTTTTCCAAAAGAAAAAAAAAAAAAGACCCTGACTAATCCCTAAGAATGATTTAAACCAAATTTGTCAAACTGTTAACTAAGTGAGAGTATATGTGAGCAGACTCACGGCTGGAGAGCTCGTGACCAAACGTGGCAAAAGCTAAAAAATGTACACGCCAGGATGGGCACCTAGAGGGAAGCTGAAGTCACAAGCGGGAAGCCAGGGTGGCAGGGTACAGGCTGGCCCGAGAGGGCAGCTTACAGTGCCGGGCTCTGGCCATCAGAGGGTCTCAGCAAGCTCTGGGGTTCTGACTGGCTCCCCTCCCCCCAATGAAATGAGGTGGGTGGTGGATTTGACTAGTATTTCAACGGTTTAGTCAGGGGACTATACACTGAAATGAAAGTAAGACTCAGAAAAGAAGAGCAGTTTTGGTGAAATTGGGGACAGGAGTGCCTGGCACCTGAGTAGCTGGCACTGCCGTTCCCACATGCATTTCTCCTCCAGGGCACCCCCTCAGGTGGGTAATATGAGAACTGACACATCCCAGGATCTCTTAGACCTGTTCACCTCTGCAGCTATGCTTCTATTCCTTGGGGCCTCTGTTGGGAACAAAATATACAGGGCTGGAGAGACTGCTGTTTTGGTCGGGTTACAGGGCATGTTTACAGAGAGGGAGAAAAGTAGATCCCCAGTTCCCAAATAAGATATGCATAGGTCTCTGCATCCATTCTTGTCTGCAAAGGCTTCCGCATGTTTGTTTTAAGGAGAATAAATTGGCGAGTGCCTTTCCTTGCGCTGTGGAGGGATCTGGCCATTGTCACCCTTTGGTCTCTGTGTCACAGGGGAAAAGGGCAGCATTTTGTTTAAAGTCTTACAAAGGTACCAGTCAAGCAAGGAGTGTTTAGCATCCTCTCAAAAATACACTAAAAGAGGCAGGTGAACCTCTCTACCTGCAGAATATGGGTCCGACGGCCCAGCTGCAGCGCCCCTCAGCAGTCATGAACACCCTATTTCCTGGGTTTGACCTGCAATGGCAGATGGGGCTCCAGAACCAGAATGTTTGAGCCCTACAAAGCTTCTGGTCACTTGTGCCTCCAAATGTATTGTTAAAAATGAAAGATTCGAGGACAGGCTGGCCCAGAAGGGTGGCAGTGCAGTGCAACTATTACCTATGCCCCCAAGACAGGGCGTATCCACCTGTCCCTCCCTTCAGGTCAGGCAGGAAGGTGGGATACTGTGAGTGCCAGTCCTCACGGCCCCAGGGCTGCCGTGGAGATGGATTAAACTCACCCCCTTTGCAGGACCAGGTGAATGACTAACTAGGAAAGAGCTCTGATACCCAGGTTCAGAGTAAATTTATAAGCAAATACTTGAAATATAAATAAAGCACTTAAGAAAATGAGGCAATCCAAACAGTGCATGATGAATATTGTTTAAAGGCTATGTAGAACACACCATACTCTCTCTTTAAACTATTCTAAGATGTAGCAGAAGTGAATTTAGCTGGTATTGATTGGGCAGGCTTCTGAAGACAACAGCGGTCATCAGCCTGGCTAGTGAATGCCCCAGGGGCGAGGCTCTATATCAAGCTTATCAGAATTCAGGCAGCTCTCAAATAACAAACTCACAGTATCTTTCAGAGGTAAGGACATTAGGGATCATCTCTGTGTCCATATGGAGAGATTTGCTTTTCCCCTCCTGGTTGACTTCATTCTGCTGCTGTTATTATTACTGGTAAACCGGCACTATGAGAATGTTCTTTTCCCCACTATAACCAATACCTCAGCAGCCTGCCAGAGAATATCCACATTCTTATTCTTCCTGGCATGCACGTTCTGACCCAGAAATCGCAGCAGCTCAGGCAGGCACGTCTGGCTCCGGGAGCGAGGTAGACCTGGAAGAGAGGAGCCGTCCATGGGAGTGTAACAAGGTGGACCCAGAAAAAGGGGAGGATCCCTGCCCCACCCAGAGGGAGGGTGGAGCTGAGCAGAGAAGAGAGGAATCTGGACAGGAATCTGAAGAACGAAGGAAGCAGGATGGAGAGCCCAAAGGCAAACTGAGGGAGGCACAGGGAGCAGAGACACGTGTGAAGAAACCGCTCTTGCTTCATCTTGGCCCTGGACTGGTTGAAACAGATATGGGAAGTAACTATGGCAGCATTTATCATGATTTTCATTTTATTCTTTTCCTTCCAAACTTATTTGGCCATTTCTGACCCTTTTCTGGGAGTCCCTGCCAGAAGGTGCTTTAGACATGTGGCAGGCTTCCAGGCCTTGCTTTGGGCCAACCCCTTTTGGGTTGACTTTTGCCCATGAGGGGATGGGTAACTTCAGGTGTTTGATTTAGAAATTATATTCTTTGTTTTCTGTATTGCACACTCATTGTACCAAATTTGCTTTCCATTAAAGCGCTTATGTCTTGTCTTGATACGGCAGACGGCAGAACCTATTTAGAGCAGGCAGTTTGGGGGTTCAGGGGTGCCCTCTCTCTCTGCCCTGTAACAGGAGAGCACCAAGAACTCGCCACCAACAAGGTGTGAGGCAGGGAGATAGCAAAATGACGAGAGCTGGGAGGTCAAGTGTGAGCTAAACAAGAGAAGGGTGTGTGTGGGACCTGGACCTGGCGACCAGCATGGCGAGCGCTTAATGCCCTTCACAGCCATTTCAGAGGGGGGCTCCAGGTCGCAGGGTCTCAGAGACAGCACCTGCTGTGGGGCTGGGAGCCAGGCAGGAAGAGCACGCTGTGGGGGCTGCGCAGACAGACTGAGGGGCCAGAGGGCTCTGAATACACAAAGTGACAACAGGCGAAACTCCCCACAGGTGAGAAATACTTACAATCCTCAGGCAAAACTTCCTTAAACTGCTCAAAGTAGGAATTTAAGCGCACCAGACTCTCCACGTTGATAACTTCTTGTAACGATGTGTCGCCAAACCTGCAGTGTTATAGGGAGACACCACTAGCTGGCTGAGGGGCCTCCCTGAGCACGCACATGGCTCTCCTGGAACCGGCAGTGCTGATTCTTGCAAATGTATATGTGCACATCGAAATTCTCTTTCCCTCCATTTTTGGTTATGTGAAAGTATAGTTCTTGTTTGGGTTTTTACTTACTAAAAAAAAATTATTCATGCAGTACTTTTTCCTTATATAACTGTTACTTTTTGAGCAATACATGATTTCTCCCCTCAGTTGCGGTCCCAGAGTTCTCCCACCACCACCACATTCCCTGTGCTCTTTCCCCACCCCTGTTCCCATCCCTCCCCCAACTCACGCCCCTTCCCTCTTGGATGACTCATGTCACCATCAGCTTGTCTCTGACCCTTTGTTGGGTTTTTCTAAATTCTATATATAAGTGAAACCTTGCAGTATTTTTTGCTTCTGACTTATTTCACTTAACAACAATCCATATCAAAATTTCAGCCACTTTCCTCCACCTAAGTTTAAGGTCATCTCTACTCGGTTGGTGACCAGTTAAATGCATTTCATTCACAGCAGCATGCACAATCTGTTGTGTGCTAGTGATCAGAGGCCATCTGTCCAGACCCTCACACCACATGGGACCCCACTCCTCTCACAGCGGCGTGCCTGGGATTCCCACATCCTCCATCCCTGAGCTCACTCTTGGGCAGCCAGGATGTGCCTGATGAGCAAGGGGAGAGGTAGGGCAACGAAACCCACAAGGCGGGTAGAAGGTGGTCATTAAAAAGTGTTGGCTCTGGGCCCTCCCTGGTGGCGCAGCGGATTAAAGCACAGCACTGAGAAGCTAAAGCCACTTCCGCATGAGTTCGATTCCCACCTGCCCTGGAGGTGACCACATGGCGCTGCAGACCTCTCCTGACCCGCCCGCTGCTCCCCTCAGCAGTGTACTTCGTCGATCTGCCTGTTCTGCCCCCACTCTGTCTCTGGCGAAGCCTCTCGCCACCCCTGAGCCTCTGGCCTTTACCCCAGTTCTGTGTGTACAAATAAATAAATCTTTAAAAAAAAAAAAAGTGTTGGCTCTGAAGTCCGAGGCCTGCATGCCCCCTCCAGCCCACTCCCTCCCTGCGCAGCAGTCTCTTCACAGGCTTTTCTTTATGGGCTAAGGAGAACATCTCCTTGGAGCAAACAACAACAGAGCTGAGACCCTGCACTCTCCAAGTCTTCCCTCTCCCCACTGTCACACCCTCCTCCTGGCCCTCTACGCCTTGTCATTTCCTTGTTTCAACCGCTTCCAGAAACTGCTCTTGCAGAGTCATCTAGAATAGCAGCTGCCAGCTGCAGGCAACATTATTCTCCCCTCCCCCTCCCGGGGACATCTCCCTGCTGGGCCCCTATGCTCCACTCTCCCTAAACACACACACACATCTCCTTAGAGGTCTGTGCTTCCTGGATAGGTGCTTCAGCCTAAACCTCCATCGCTCTGGGTGCAGTAGATGGCTGTACTGCTGATGTAGAACCCTGGGTCTTTCTATTCACATCATTGCCTCTCTCACACCCTACCCCAGTGAAGACTAAATCTACCTCACCACCAAAACAGTTCTCCAGTCAGTAGCTTCTCCATCTATACTACCCTGCCTGATCCAGGTCCTTTTCAACACACTCTCATCACACTTGCCCTCTTTACATCTTTCCAGGACATGGTCAGCAATAATATACTTAAAACATCAACCTGATTGCATCCTGCCCTATGAAAAAGTCTTCCATGGTTCCCAGACATAGCACATTTTCTAAGTGAAGTTAACCAACACCTAGGAGTCAAGAGACATGATCACTGTTTAAAAGGTCCATACAAGAGGCCAAATTTCTTTACCAGCAAGCACTTTAAGATAGCTTTATATTTAAACTAAAGCGCATACAGCACATGAATATGGAGATGAAACAAGACTCCCATGTGCTAGTAGAAGGTCACTAGAGATCACACACTCAACCACTGCTTCTCCTCAGCACACATACACACACACATGCACATTTGAGTGTACACATGTCTCCACCCTGCAAGTGACCAGGAGAATGTGTGCAAGGCACACGTCTTTAGATCACAGCGTGGCCTCGGTCTCACACAGAGAACTCCCAAACCTTATCATGGCCCATCCCCGACCCCCACTGTGCTCTCCTCATCTGCTTTGCCAATAAAATTCTTGGCCTGGGATCCCCTATCTCCTCATCTGACCAACTCTTAATCACTTTTAAAAACCTACTTCAGCCATTAATCCTCCAGGAAGCCCTCAGAGACCCTCTTAGACATCTTTAGGGCTCTTACTTCCCTCATTTATCTTTATCCTTATGCCACCACTGTTAAATCTCTTGAGGACACAGACCACATCTGGCTTATCTTTGTGTCCCCAGCACCAAAGTTTAGCTCAGCTACATAAGTACAATTAAAGGACGCTAGCCAAAGGAAGAGAGGGATGACAAAGTCCCCACAAGACTCACAACCTAACGAGGGTTCAGAACACTTTGTACCTTATCTCAGTAACCACTCCAGCCCCAGAGAACCAGGCACGCACCTCTCGGCCAGCGTCTGCTGCTCATTGATGCCCACGTTGAAGAGGACGGGCTGCACCCGCAGCAGCATGCCGCTCTGGATCTCCCGGGGCAGGGAGTCAAACAGGGGTCCAGGGAGAGGGATCCGCACGTTAAACCCATCGCTGCAGAACAGTGGGGAGAGTATTGGAGGGATTAGGTGGTGATCCAGGAGAGAAGAGGAGAGCGTGAGAGAGTGTGGCTGGCTGTCTGGTTCAGTGGTTTCCACTTGTTGGGCATGAACTTTTAAAAACTGTTAAATTAGTATAGAGGGCATTGATCTGCATTTTTAACAGAGTAAAACAAAGATTAAGTGTGTATCATGTGTACCAAACAATGAAAACACCAATTCTTGAGAATTAAAAAAATAGTTCTACCGGTTTCCAGTGATGACGGGCAGCATGTCAGTTGATGCATTAGAAGTGGCCTGCGTGACTTTAAAGGTCACATTCCTCAAGTCCATGATTCCAAGGCTCATATCCTCCAGCATGGCCAACTCCTCACCTGGATTCAGAGAGGAAGGAAAGCTCTGACCCTCTTCACCAGGTGATCAGTTTCCCCCTGGTGTAAACACGCACCACACTTCCCAGACATTTCCTGATGAAGGAAGCTGGGCGAGAAACAGAAATGCACAGAACCTCAGAGGGCCAAGCTGGCTCTTCAGAAACACACAGAGTATTAAATAGTGTATTGTGGCCAGAACTGCCATTATACAGTACTTGGTATTTATTGGTATCTTATAACTCCAAAGACTAAGAGATATTTTTAAAAGTTACCCATTTTTTGGCCCTCCCTGGTGGCGCAGCGGGTTAAAGCACTGCACTGAGAAGCTAAAGCCACTTCCACATGAGTTCGATTCCCGCCTGCCCCGGAGGTGACCACATAGTGTGGCAGACCTCTCCTGACCCGCCCGCTGCTCCCCTCAGCAGTGTACTTCGTCGATCTGCCTGTTCTGCTCCCCAATCTGTCTCTGGTGAAGCCTCTCACCGCCCTGAGCCTCTGACCTGTACCCCAGTTCTGTATGCATAAATAAATAAATCTTTAAAAAAAAAAAAAAAGTTACCCATTTTTACCTTGTCAGAAAAAAAAAATGAATATAGCAAGTCTTCTTAGAGGACATTTGGAAATACATATGAAATTTCAAAACATCCCAATCCTTTGACCCAGCAAACTTTCCTCCTAATAATTTAGTGGCTGTAGATATGGGCCTACAGGGGCACAAAGACTTATGGGCAGAGATGGATGGCAGTTCTGTGTTGATGGTAACAATTGGGAAACAGCCCAAGTGCCCCGTAGAAGTTACTGTGTGAATACTTGTCATCCATTCCCAGCAACATCACCACTCACCAAGAGGAGAGGAGGATGTGACTGCAGAGGATTTTCAAGTGGCTGTTACCCATTGTGGTGATATCTGTATTTATTTAATTGGCATCTATGACTGTGGTAATCAGAGAAACATTGAGGCAGAAAGGTCAAAAGCCACACACACATCAGTGCTGTTCACGAACCAGAGGCCCCAGGGGCACAGGCTGTGGGGTCCTGGGGTCTCACCGTAGGTGCTCAGCAGGCTTTCGAACTGGGCGAGCAACCCGATGGTGTAGAGCTGCCGCAGGAAGCCGTCGTCATGCAGGCAGTTCCGCAGCTTGATGATGAAGCCGCAGATGAGGGCCGTCAGCTGTGCGGGAGACACGTGCTGAGCAGACCTCTCCCCACTGGAGAGCAGTCAGCTCGGGCCACGCCCTGGGCCCTGAGCTCCCCTGCCTCCCCGGCCTCCCCAGGCTTCAGCAGCACCCCTGTCCTTCCAGGGCCTGGACAGTGGGGACCACACGTGGCAGAGGCCAAGGGAAGAAGGGCAGCACTCCAGGCCGCTGCTCCTGTTGCTCCCAAAGGTAATTTTGGTTCTGTCCCAGCTCAGAAGTTACCTGATCTGTGTGGGTTACTACTCAATGAGAAGCTTCCAGAAACTTGAATTAATTCCCCACAGTGAAAGGGTCCATATAATCACAGATCCATACCAGTTCTGGCTGGAAATTGAGTTAACCACACAAAGAACAGGAGTAAGAGGTGATAGGAGGCTGACAGGAGGCTCTAAATTTCCTCAGAGGGAGATTTTCTGTGGGATGAAGATGCCTTACCAGGACAGGTGGGGGAAACTGCAGAAAACCAACCCAACCCTCTACCTCTTTGCTAATTTCATTGTTGGCATCTAAGAAACTGATGACATTCATTTAAATTCTGCCCTTCTCTGAAGGATAACAGAAATCGTTAAAGTTGTGCCCGGGCTGCAAAACTAAGGCCCCTGCTGTTTTACAAACAAGAACACTGACTGCATTGACAACAAACATCTATGTCTCTCACTAAACTCCTCTGTAGGAGGTAAAAAATGGTGGCGAAGAGGCCTATGCTGCCCACAATCCACCCCCCCGCCTCCATCCAAGGACAGCTGATGTGCACATTCCATTAGTCCCAGCTCTTCAGAGGGCGCGGGTGTGCAATCAGGCCCTCCTAAATACATACTGATGAAATGGGCCCCACCCCTCCGTACTGACAGCTAGACTTCTCCACTAAGGAGACAGGAGAAAACACCGCCACCTGAGGGGACGTCTTCTAAGCTGTGCTTGCTGAGGGAGCAGGCGCCTGGGGCCTCCGGTGTGGCACTCCCGAGGGCTTACCGTTTGGCAGAAGACCACGTCACGGCGGTACTGCAGGCTCAGGTACGTGGCTATGGTGGGAGCACTGTCCTGCATGAGCAGGAAGACCATTGCCTTCTTGGCCTTGTCACTCATCATGGCCACACAGTCTGTGAGGGTGGTCAGCAGAGGGTACAGGGCCTCGCTCCATTCACCTGGGCATGAGGAAGTTGTTTTAGAGGAAGATTTTAAGAATGAGGCGGTGGAGGCTTAACAAGTTACCTGTCGCCTAACCTCCATAGGGGCCTCCCCACTCCCCCGTTCGCTACCTCTTCTGCAGCTTCTAATTCTGCTTGGCTACACTCTGCCCAGAATTGGCACCAAGTAACACCTGGAAGTAACCCAGTTTCTAAACTTCTGGTCGGAAGCTTTTCCAGTAAATTCTAACATCAGCATGATTCCATGACGGCTGGTCTCCCCAAACTAGTGAGGATCCTGTATATAAATACTCAAGCCTATTCCACTTGAGGAAAACAAAAAAAAAGTTCTGCAAGTAATGACTAAGCATGAAAATTCTTTGTCTGCACAGCCTACTCCCTGCCCCAGTGCCCTAACTCCTGTACCTGGGGGAGCGGGGGGTGGTGCCCTAGCTGGCCTGGGCACAGGACAATGCCACCCTCACCTGGCCTTTTATGCAACTGAGCTAAGTTCTCACATTCTACATCTAGGGAAAGACCATCCCCGTGGCTTCCTGAGTTTTCAGCCCTAGAATCCTCCTTTCTGCACCCACTTTTCCTGCCTGGTTGCCATCTATTTATAGCTTAGGATTCTTTTTTTTTAAAAAATAAGGTTAACTTTGACCCTGTACCAAAACAACTTTTTAAAAATAGAACCTCAGGCCCTCCCTGGTGGCGCAGCGGGTTAAAGCACAGCACTGAGAATCTGAAGCCACTTCCGCATGAGTTCGATTCCCGCCTGCCGCCTGCCCCGGAGGAGACCACATGGCGAGCCAGACCTCTCCTGACCCGCCCGCTGCTCCCCTCAGCAGTGTACTTCGTCGATCTGCCTGTTCTGCTCCCCACTCTGTCTCTGGTGAAGCCTCTCACCGCCCCTGAGCCTCTGGCCTGTACCCCAGTTCTGTATGAATAAATAAATAAATCTTTAAAAAAAAAAAAAAAAAAAAAAATAGAACCTCAGAGGAGAAAAAACAGACTCAAAGGTATTTTTGGCTTTGGCTTTTCTTCCTTCCTATTTAGACTACATGGTCTCATAGGTTTTATTTTTAACCATCACCAAACCCAGAAATAGGCACTTGGTCTGCAGCACTGGCTTAGCCCACTGCCCCAACGTGGCAGAAGCAGTGGGTGACAGCAGGCAGCGCACAGCCTCTGGGATGAGTTTGCCAGCCACGGGAAGCCCAAAGGCACCAGGGCACTCAGGGATGGCCGGGGGTCATGGGGAGGACCAGCTCCCAGAGGGTAAGCTCTGTCTTAAACAGAACCTAAAAGCCCTCTCAAAATGCTACTGTATGGGTAGCATTTTGTTGAGAAACAAATTTAAAGAAACACTAAGAAGCAGGAAAAAATTTGAGTATTTGGCTAATATTGATTTTTTAAGGGTATGTGGCAACTCAAAATTTGGAAATGATCTAACGGAATATGCAGCACAGTGTATTGGCTAAGCTTTTACATCTGCAATGGAAAAAAACAGTCTTAAATTTAGAATATCTATAGCAGAAAGGTCTTAGCAAATAAACCATGGTGACAAAGAACACTGAACCAAGGGGCTTGGAAAACATGAGCCTTGGACACCTCAGTCACGTGGGTCCTTCTTGGTAAAATGGGAGTGCTGTCCTAGAAAATATCCAAGTCCCTTTCTTCCTCCAAAATTCTTAGATACCCATTTTTTTGTTTCTCTGAAAAACTCTGTTGAACCATATTAATTAGATTCAAACTGTCAAAAAAGGGGAATAGCAATTAAGTTTTAATGAACAGTTTGGGCAACGGTAGTAGTTGTTAAGACTATTATTCATTAGGAAGTAAATGCTTCTAGAGCAAATGCTGCTAATTTTACTTTGTTTTCCACTTAACATGCATATGTAACCAATATGGACCCATATAATTTTAACCTGAACATGATCAGAATATACAACTGGTCGTCTCTAAGTAAGTGTTCTTCTTACACCTTTTTAACCATTTTAACTTAGTCTACTCCTTTTTAATAATAATAAAAAAATGCATCTAAGAATGACTCAGCTATACTACATTGGGGGGAAAACATTGAAGAAGTCAGAGTACAGCAAAGCTAGCTAGCAAACACGGAGAGTGTGTCCTGAGGAAGTGCAGTTGGGTTGACAGCCTGACACTGACCCAGAAAAGGGCTCATTCAAGTCTGGATGGGGGCAGAGTTCATTAAAGTCATCAACCACCATTTCTGCTATTCCTATTAACTTCACTTTATAACTGTATTTTCAAGAGTGAACAGAGATGGGTAGGGAAACAGGCTCAGGAAGGGTAAGTGTCTTCCTAGAAATAAAAAAAGAAGTGCATCTGTCAGGCTGCTTTCTGCTGAACAGAGTGCACCTTTGGGGGTAATACATGTTCAGTCAATATGAGGAAATACTAAAATAAAGAACTTCTAAGCAAAATGAATTTCAGGCATAATAGGATTTCTACCAAAACCTTCTTAAGTAAGGATGTCTAGGATATCAGGATTAGTTATGGGATTACACTCTGCTTCCTCTGTTGTGGAAGTACTGCTATGAAAAAAAAAAATCAGTTAAGTAAACAGTGTTCTCAGTGATGTAAGTGATTAACTTCGGAGTGTCAAGCTTCTTATCTAGTTGCTTGAACACTTCTGATTGGTGGCCAGTACCTGGACCACACTACTTTTGATAACTTTAATGGACGGTTTAAAATCTGTATTCTGCTTGTTTTCCCCCATTATTAGGTGATGGTGAAAGAAGGGAAAAGGTAGACAGAGAGAAAAAGAGAAAGTGTGTGTTAGTCTTAACTCAGATTAAATACAGCTCTGTGGGAAAAGCCAAGAACACTCTTGACAAGTCCATTTGACATTAATTATGGAAAAGTCACTAGTGCTTCTACAAATGACATAGCAGATGTTAGATAAGGAGAGTTCTACAAGCGTGGCCCTATTTCTATGCTGCCTGGGACTATACGAGACTTCCCATTAGCCCTACAAACTTCAAGAAACTCTGAGTTTAGTTGAACTGTGAGCTTCTTCTATATGGGCAAGTTCATGATGCCACAAGCTCCTTTTCTGGTCCTTCTGGGTGTGGTCCTACCAAGGGTCTGGGGAAATCAGCTCCATGTGAGGGGACCAGCCTCCTCTGAAGTTAAGCTGAGGAATACTGGAAGCCCAGAGACAAGAAGGCACACAGGTGTGGCAGAGGGGATCTGTGCAGGTACCAAGGTCTCAGAGACCCTAAAGACCCAGGGACCCTGGGTTAAAGACCCCACACTGACTTCCATGGGTAAGAGAAACTGATGAGACTGAAAACAAAGTGGAGGTATATGACGTACCCAGTCATGTAATCCCATAGGTGAGCTAACTCTGAATGGAATTCTGGGGTTGCTGTCAGAAGTCATCACAAAAAGCTGACATGAATTTACAGTGTTGTGTGAACTGAGAGGATTCATAAACAATTACTAAGAATAGTTTGGTAAATCCCATAGTTACCAACTTGCCACTCTGTAGATATAAAGCAGGTTTCCTGCAAACACATATTTATATCCAGTCAGAAATATGTATCATCAGACTTGTTATACAGCTGTTTTTTGGAGTGTAAGGGAAAGAAACACGTATTATGCGGGGTGGGGGTGTCTCATGCTCACCCTGGGAGAACAAGCCAACTCCAAGAAACTCAGTATGAACTAGAACAGGGGTCGGCACACTTTCTGTAAAGTGTTAAAGAGCAAATATTTTAGGTTTGGAGGACGGAGGTAAGGGAGGGACCTCTGTTATAACTAAATGCAGGCATTGCCCCCAGAAAAGCAGCCATGCAAACATAAACAGCAGGTGAATGAGTGGACACAAATGTCCATTCAAATAAAACATTCTTTACAAGAGCAGAGAGTGGACAAGATTAGACTCAGGGCTAGTTTGCCGACCCCTGAACTAGAACCATAAACACTGATTTCTACATGCAAATATAGCAAATATACACCCCATTTCTAGTATTTACTCCAACTGAAGTTCATAGCAATGCCTGGTAATAATTCTAAAGCTGAGTCAGATCCAGAGGAGAGGAGGCTGGGTAATTGTGAACCTTATGATACTTGGGTGGCTACTGTTATCTGACCATTTCCTCCACATAATGCTTCCAAGTTCAGGTAAAGTCACAGGAAGGATCGTTTTCAAATAGGTACCTCTCTCAATCAGGTCACCCACCTCAGGAAGCCCAATGCAGTCAGGGACATTAATCAGCCGAAAGGCTTTAGAACAGGAAGTGACAAAGACTCACGGGGTAGCCTGCCTGAGGCCACTACTCCCAGCCCAACTCGCCCCAAACCAACCTAAGGGAAGTTGCCACATGCCTCACAATGACGAAACTCCTAAAATAGTGTCCTCACTGTGGGAGCACAAAGTTATCTGCATTAACTGAGCTACAAACACTACCTGAGTATTAAAAGGACATCCACAGAAGCCTTGAAGGGAAACCACGTACCTGCGCTGGACTCTTCAGGAGGGGGGCTGCAATCTGCACAGAAATGGAGGGCAACACGGATGATTAAGGAGCAGCACACAGTTCAAACAGGAACAACTCAACGCTTAGAGCAGCTGCATTTTTAGCAGCTTGTAGTGAGGAGGCTAAACTGCCTCTTCCCCAAGAAGTCACACCAAAGCACTCCGACTGCTCGGAGGCAGCCTGCCCAAGTCACTGGTGTGGGCATTCATGTTGTTGACGTGTCAACATAAAATGCTCTTTGGGGTGAGCAAACTAACATACCACAATGTGACAGGCACCGACATTTATCACATTGTATGTGACTGCGTCCCATGTGGGCTCATAACATCTGGAAGCGAACTTGTAGTGAGAGACACTGAGCAGCACTTCGAGCAGTCACAACTCAGGGGCCACTGCCCTGATGACAGGTTTGGCCTGAGTCAAACCCTGACCACAGAGATCCAAATGCAGGATCCAGTCATGAAGCCAATATACTACAGACATCTACACGGATCTTTAAGTTTTAAACCAAACATATAACTTATGATTGGGAGGAGTCTAGAATTAAAATCTCCCTCTAGTGCCTCAGAGAATACCAACTTTAATTCAATTTCATCTACAATGAGTCACATTGGGAAGTACTCATTTTAATTTCACATTTCCCTTAAAAACTTATAGTCCTGCTTAACTGGGTGTGTGTGCCACCTGAAAGAAAACAAGTTTGAAAAGGGATCATTTGGAATAAAAGTATATATTTAAACTTCAGTTCAAAGAGCATCTTTGGGATATTAAAATGAGTGGTTTCCAATCCCTACAAATAGCCAGAACCAGTTTTATGGACACATTTATAACCTGGATTGTCCAGAAGGGGTAAAAGGATCATTCCTTCCTAATCATCTTTAGCAATGCCTTCTTAACCTGACAAAGGAGACAGAAATAGAGCAAAATTGAAGACATCTGTGAGTTGAAGATTTCTACAATTTCATCAGAGCCCAAATAGTTTGAGGCCATTACTACCTAACAGGAGAGGAACCCACCACAGTGGTGTACAGTGATGTGGGGCAACTTGTCTAAACACATGTCTCCTAGGCCCTGAGAAGATGCAGATCTTTGCCTCCCCATAACCCTTCCTCTAAAATTCCTGGTAAATGAAGAGGAAGGTCTAGTAGCCTCTTTTTAATGATCTTCTGTAGGGAAGATCCCAAACAGCACAGCTGGGATCACTCCTGAGAAGTCCTTATGGGTTAAGCACAGTTTGGCAAATTCCTCTTCAGTTAAAAGGAAAGCAAGCTGGCGCTCCTCTGGTATTCCTGGACCGGTGGATTATAACTTGTCTTAGGTCATGGAGTCCTTTGAGGTTTGATGACCACTACGGTCTTTGTCTCCATGTGCACGCAGGATTTAGCACATACTAACAGAAGCACACAAACCTGGGTGCAACTGAGAGACTTCAGGTTAAGAAAAAGCTGACTCCAGGTTTGAGTGACACTTACGGGACGATGCAAACGAAGGGTGTGTGCATGTAGAATGTGGTGGAGCTCACCAAATCCTGGAAGCTGGTGATGGGCATGATTAGAAGGGATGTGGGGCACATGAGGGGAGGAAAGAGAGACCTTAGAAGCCTCTGGACCCAGCTGGCAAGGGCCTGTCAGTATGTTCCTACACACTGGCTGTGGTGACCCCATCCACCAGGCAGGCTAAGAGGCAGGGCAACTCCTTGGAGACATGTGAAAACACAGACTCAGGACAAGGTACAGAACTGAAAGGGAAATCTGAAAGGGAAATTGGTGATGCCTTTCAAAGCAGCACAGAGTTGTTTATATGTAATAAATATACTGGTGTGAACTCAGTCTTCTCAATGGGCCGGAACAACTGTCCCAGTAACTTGGGATGATATAAAAAGTTAAGACAGTACCAGACTCTGGCCCTTCTGGACAATATTTAGTAAAATCAGTGGCTCCTGGTTGGTTCTTTCTGACTCTCAGGTCATGCTGATAGCTGAAGAGCTTTCTGGCTATGCTCAAGATGTTTTAAGTTAAGAATCATCCACAGTTAATATATTGGCACATGTTTTCATAACTTGAATACTGATCCACAGAGTTAGACTCTGTCAAATGCATGCTTCACATTCTCATTATCACAACAGAGCTGATTTGTACAGCATACACAATTTCAAGTCTATCCCTAAATGCCATCAGTAAATGCTTGTTTAAAATCCTTTAAAATGGCAGTTAAATTTGTCTATATTTGAATATAGGAAGTGCTGAGAAAAAAAATAAGCATTTAAATAATAGATGTAATAGTAAATTTGATGAAATAAACTTATCTACTGCATTTAAAAAACCAAATAAATTACTCCTTATATCTTCAGAAACATTTTTAAATTACAAGCAAGGCAGTATCAAAGAGAAATGAGCAGTGAACTTCCAGAAAATTTTAAACAGAAACACAATGTACGTAAAAAAAAAAAATGAGAACACCAACAGAGACAAAATAGCTCCATGAACCAATTACAGGTTTGAGAAACTGAAGCTATCATCCCTTACACATGGAAAAGTAGAGAATGTGAACACTGCTAAAACAGAGGCACAAGTGAAATAATACCCTGGAAACAGACTGCAAGCAGATTAAAAAGGCAAAGGATGTATTACAAATGAAGGAGGACTTATCAAGAGGCTCTGGTAAAAGAACATGTCTCTGCTTTGAAGGAAAGTTGCTCAGAAACTGGAAGTCCTTGGAGCACGAAGCCTTACCCTGACACATCTGGCCTTACTTGTTACGGGTTAACACTCCCAAAGGAGAGCACAGAGGAGGCAGAAGCTAGTCTGCAGCAAGGCGCCACTGCCTGGCCAGAGCTCTCTCCAGCCTACAGGAAAGGCAGAAGGCCCAGCGCTACACATGCTTCCCAGGTTTTAAGGCTGTAAGGCGGCAGAGTGTCTGGTTAAGCCCTGTGTCTCTGCAGATAGAAGAATGGTTGCCTCATGCCAATGTCTTGCCAGCTACTGACAGTCCCACTTTGGAGGGCGATAGCAAACAGAAGGCCCTAACTCAGCCCCCCAGAGAGGCACAAGTGGTTCCACCACTTACTGAGTCACCAACAAGCCCCAATGCAACATAGCTCTGCGGGTAAAAGTGTGCCCAGTCCCTGACAGCCAGTCTTTAGACAAGTCCAGTGGGCCTGCTAATAGCCTCATCCTGCTGTATCCTGCACATTTCATCTGTTCCTTGACTGGTCATTTTTTATGACCACTAACTAGATGCAATAAGCAATCTCACTGAAAGGTTCTGAATCATAACCCCCTTCAGCTCTCAGATTCATTTACACACTAGAAAAACCCAGGAACCCAAGCCTCACTGCCGGTTCAGCGACCCAGGTGGGCCCTGAGATTCTGCCTTTCCAGACATGCAGATACATACATGGCTTCAGGGTCATGAATACTACAGGAGCCTCCACCCTCACTGCCACAGCATGCACTGTGACGCCCCCTCTACCTAAAGACCCTCCCTGCAGTCTGTGTCGGGGGAGGACATGGAGTGCGAGACACAGACAGAACAACGCAGCATGAGGTGAAGGTGACACAAATGGGAAGCGTGAATGCATACGCACGTGTGGTTGGGTGAGGATGGCATGCAGCAGAGGGCATGGTGGAGGGGCATGGTGAGGAGGGGACATCGCAGAAGGGGTCCTCCGGTCTGATCCAGTAGGCGTGGCTGTCTCGGTTACCTTTCTTGTTGGGGAAGCTTCCGGCGGAGGGGAAGACATCCTCACAGCCCTCATCTTGCAGGCGCTCCTTCTGCAGCAACTTGTCCACCCGCTGAATGATGCACTCCAGGCTCTTGTCAACATTCAGCCACACTTTCTCCTTCCAAACAAAGAGAGTCCATTTGGGTGAGCTCCACCAGTAGGAACAACAGAAAACAAAGCCAACCATCCCTGATCGATCCCACACAAGGGCACTGAACTCATTAAAACACAAGATATAGAAATATCAACATGATTCATAACTCCCCATTAAATATGTATTCATTCAAACATCAAATCAAAGCCTGTGATAACTGTTCTTAAGAGTTTCAGAGATGTTTGCTAGTAACTGTCTTGAAGGCTCAACAGGACATCCTGGTGCCTTCCAGTGGCAGCAAAGGGCCATAGCGCCAGGAAGTTAGTTTTCCTCCCCCCTCCCTCTCTGTAGACTTCTACTACCATCACACGGAGAGGACTGGGGTCACCTGGATAGAAAAGAAAGGAAGCAGCTTAAGATGGGGGAGGTGGGGTGGAGCGGAGGGACATCTAGGAGAGGTTTGCAGGCACCCACACAGAATACTGTGGGCGAGAGCATGGCTAAAGGAACACTTCAATGCTGACTAATAATTCAGAGCGCAACAGAATAGAGTCTCTAAACAGTCATCCCAACAAATGATAAAAATGGGTTGGAGTATGTGTCACTCCTCAGAAGATATAGATCCTGGCCCTCAGAGCCAAATCTGGAAGGAAGCAATAATCTGACAGTGTCAGAAGCAGCCTCTCAAAATCCTCACCCAGCTGCACCTGTACCTACAAAAATACAAATAATCCCAGAGAGTTAGCTTTGGGCAGAGCACTGAAGAAGCAGGAGAGACTTGTCTGGTCTTTACTAGTCAGGGACAGAATGGGTCCCAACACCAGGCAGAGGACAGAAGCCTCCAACTGGGAAAAGGCTCCAGTGAGAAAAGCCCCCTTTACAACCAGGTCTGAGGTGGACCCAGCACACAGGATATTATGTCCTCAGACAGACATAATATATATAATTAACGTCTCCCTCCCTAAGTCAGGGGGTCCCAGTGCTGACTGGAAAGGAGAGTTGGAGCTTGTATGCAAAGAATTCAACCCTTTAGGCAACTCTGAGAGGAAGGAACTGGGAAGAGGCTTTGCATTATTCAATTCAAGCTTAGTAGCAGTATAAGACCTGGGTAGCTGACTCACCCACTCCTCCTCATGCCAATCCACCTGCAGAGAAGACCGGCTGTTCCTGCCTGTCCACCTGGCCATGAGGGTGTCCTGGTCATTCCTAAGCATCACCTGCTCCTCCTCGGTCGAAGTCGGGGAGGCCTTCGAGGCAATGTAGTCAGGCCGTGCGGCGTTCAGTCCATGGATGGAGTTGGCCAGCAGCTTACAGTCACACACCGTGACCAGCTGCCGGGTCTGTGGGGACACACAGACGTGGCCCTGAGTCCCCAAGCAAGGGCTGGCAGGTCTGCCCTCTTTGAGAGCACACCAACTAACCTGAGGCCCAGCGCTCTCCTTCCACCCTTCTCCATGATGCCAACAACTCAAGAGCTGCAGTCTTAAGTGTATCTAAACTTAAAGGTGCCACATGACGAGCTGGATAGACTATTACCAAGAATTTCCCACCAAGACTGGAGAAAACCAGGAGGATGAGTGGAGTTTAAGACTCTTCCCTGACATCCTTCATTGCCTACCTATCTCTATGCCTGACACTGAGAAGTTCCTGAAGAAGGGCCAGTGTCTCACTGCTTTCCTGAACATCGTCTCTAATTCCAGGGGGCAAGGATCAATGCTGAATGAAGCCTTACTTCTGCCTCTAACGCCTGAAGACCTGGGCTCAGGGGAGTTGGCACAGCACTTTTGGTTCTGGGGAATTCTGCATGCAGCAGGGTTTCTGTGGCTCTTAATTTTACTTCTGCCATCTTTCTCTTCCAAGTGGATCAAACACCCAGCTCCCAATCTTTTTACTGGGCAAACACACATGGACATGTGTTTATGGGTATGTGTGGAGAGAGAAATTAAATCATTTGAAAAAGTACCATTCGTCAAAGAATCTGTATGGACTAATACATAAACATTTTTTAAAATCAGGATCAAATTAGAGTTAATTAGAAGCTGGTTTACTGATTATACATAAACCAATAAAATTATATAGTTCATATAGTCTGTAATAACTCAGATTTCTATTTTTGAAATTTAAGTGCAATATAAATGAGACCAAGAAAATATGCTAAGTAGGCAGTGACTACAGTGGAACTTCCACAGTGAGCGACCACCCTGGGCTGACTGGAAGACACAACTGCAGCTGCGAGCCAGAGCCGGGGGCTCTGTCCTTGACCTGCTCCTATCCAGCTCTGTGACCCTGGACAAATCACCAAACCTCCCAAGCCTTTGTGTGGACCAGACCTGAGACTAGATCTTCAAGGTCATTCCACCCTTTGTGTGGATGAGTCTAGCACAGAAGGTGTCCAGGGGTCTCCCCAAACCTAAGGGAGCCCGCCTACCCCACATGCAGCAGGGAAGCCACACCTACCTTGTCTGCCAAGATGGCGAGTGTCCTTTCCAGGCCTGTGGCAGACCTGTCCTTGGCTGCTCTCGAGAGCCGCTCTGCATAGTAGCTCACTTGGGTTTTCAAGGTGTTAATCTGGGCAATGATCTCCTTGGCTCTGATGATGTCCTGTGGTATGTAGATGATAGACTGGCAGCCAGATGATGTACTAAAAGGATTAAGAATAGATTCTAAGGGATTCTCTCGAATCAATGAGGATGGAAGCATCCCTTCAACCCCAGCCCATTAACAAAAACAAAGCATCTGTTACGAGGGGTGCTCCCCTAGGCCAATTTAGCTATCAATAAGCTAAAGTAAATCTCATGAGATCCTTTGTGTCTATTTGGTAGACGCTTGAAATCTTAAAATACAATGAAGTCTTTTTATGTATATTCCTATGTCTGTGCTCTTACCATGTGTATGTATGTGTGTGTACACTCAGGACATACCCAAATGCTCATAATCTTTCACCTAAGAACCTCATTTGTCAGCTTCTAAGCAGCACTGAAGTGGAGACACTGAGTCTGCTAATATCAGGAAAGAGTTTGTCACAAGGAAGGGCAATAGCAGTCTGTGCTGAACTCTGCAAAGGAACCTCAGTTTTCTCATTTGGCCAATCAAGACCTCAAATTTTCTGTGCATACACCCACAGTGCTACTTCCTTCATATCTTCATATATCTGACCCTACTAGCAAGTCCCCCCAAAACTGGTATTCCTTTCCCTCTCCCCTTTTTCTCAACTTTGAAAAATGTTTTACAAGATGAAAAGGAGGTAGAAAATGTGCTAAGCCAGAGGACAGAGCTGAGCACCTCAATGGCTTTGAAAATCCTCTCTTTCCCTGCCATATGCAATCAAGCAATGCATAGAGCTTGAGATCTGATGTCAAAGCTCCAGCCCACTCACTACTTGGCACCATCACCTGCCCCCCGAGAGCCAATTCCACCTCCCAGTCTGCATGAGACCCGGCTGGCATTATTTGACCCGTGTAGATGAAATGATAAAATGCAAGTCTCTTCAGATAAGACCCCAAATCTATCCAATATTAGAAGTCAAATTTCAGAACACCTGAAGATGCCAAGGGAGCAAGGCGAAGTAAAAGGCACCAATGCAGAGGTCTCCTCCTACAGAGTGAAGTTGCGAGTTCTCACTGAAGGGCTGCCTGTGGTGAGAAATCAGCTATTTAGAGTGGCTGCCTAGAGCTTAGGACTCCACTGTGCAAGTACCTACTTTGTTTTTCCTGGGGTAATTTGAAAATAACCACCTAGAATCTAGACTGTGAAAAGTTAGAGACCTCTGCCCCAACCATCCTATACGCAATAGGTGTTATCAGCCTGCTCACTCATGGCCTGCCCTTCTCCTGGCTCACTATGGCCCCGCCACTTCTCCCTGCCCCTGTACCTAGAATCTGTAAGTAATAAATCTTATGATTTTGCTTCCTTCATGTGAATGTACTAGAACTGCACCTGTCATCAGTTTTACTTCTGCAAAGTGGGAACTCAAACAATGAAGGAAGAACCTGTGGACCCCATGTAAGTGGCTGTGTCTGCTCATTCAGCAGGCCATAAGCTACACTTTCTTAGTCTAACATACCAATTATGGGTTTCCCTAACAATACTGGTCCCCTCAGAGAGTTATATCCTTTGGGCTTGTGGGAAGAGGATGGTGAGGGTTCAGCACCCTCCACAGCCTCACTTGGAGACAAGGTCAGGACTGAGAACCTTTCCCAGAGGACACTGTCCAGGGTAACCTGAAGGTGGGCCCTTGACAGACTATGAAGAAAACATGCAAAAACTGAAAACCAAAGCACCCCAGAAAGAAACAATACCCCGAGCCCACACACCACAATAAAAAATGATGAATTTGCCAGAAGCCCATGCAGCAGACCGCAATCAAGCCTGTGTGGTCTGACAAAGGTCATTCCACAGCACAATGAGCACACGGCTACTTTCCAATCTGCAATCACTCTTCCAATGAATAGCTGATACTTAAGATGGCTCCATCTTAAAAAAAAATCTCAAAATAAAATTTAAAAAAATCTATACTTCTCATATATTTGTAGTATATATGTAGGGTGTGATACATGTAAATGCACGTGTGTGTACAAATTAATACATACCTGCCCCCAAGTCTTGGAGATAAGCATCACCTCCCTCACCCTGTACCCTTATAGGTAATGGTCTAATGATAGTAATCTGGGATTGATGCAGAGCATAAGAAAAGTGTGTGGCATGGTGAGAAAGGATAAATTTCAAAGAGCTGCTGTTCAGAGATGATCATGTGTGCTCAGCCACCTAATCTGAAAATGGGAACGCTCACAAGGCCCACGGGTGGGGGCCAGAGCCTTGGGGGTGTAGCTAGGACTTGCCACTGTCAGACATCTCCAGGAAAAGCCTGACAGCTCAGGCAGCGCTGAGCCACGACCCTGGAGCCTCACCAGCTGCAAGATGGCAGCAGTTCCCAAAGGGCTGCAGGTACCTTGAGGCTCGCTGCCAAAGAAGCCACGCTGCACAGACCCTGTCTGGGCCTAGGCAAGCACTGTGAGCATGACTGGGCAGGGTCAGGCAGCAGTGGACTCTCCCAGCAGCAGACACTGGTTTCTGGGTGTCATCTAACAATTCTAAGGTAAGAAGAGTCACTTGGTTTTATTAATTTTAGTCTTCCCTGCAAGGGTAAAACGGACCCTAGTAATACTTTCTTTAAAATCTGCATGAACTATTGAATATCATGAAAACTAAAAAGCCCTAAGATTCTTATACAAGAAGCCAGAAAGGGAATTCTAACTACACCGATGGGTTGACCTGAAATCCTAGCACCCTGGCTGGGGACATGGCTGGCCTGGCTCTTCCTCATTCTGGAGAAACAGAATTGGGTCTTCTCTCAGTGAGCTCAGCAATGAACAGTTGCCAGATTGTGAAAATACAGTAGCAGACTGGAGGCTGGCTATTCATTACCAAAGAACATTGCAGTTGGAAGAGAAAATTCTGTCTACAAGGCTATAACTAGGAACCACAGTGGAACCAAGGAGTGGAGCACCTCACAGAGGAGGGGACAGCACAGGCTTTCTCTGCATGAAAGCAAGACCCAGAACAGACACTCTCTCCACAGACAGAAAACTCACCAACACTCCTCAAAACTGCTAAAGAAAAGAACCAAAATGAAGTATTAGCAGTTTGTTAACAAACACCAAATGCAAAACCAAAAAGTAAAAACCCAAGTTATCTTTTTTTAAATATTTAAAATATTTGTTCAGGCCCCAATGACAGGGACAATTACTCTTAAAGGGTCAGCATGTTAATTCATTAGAGAGCTATGTCAGCACCTGTGGGCAAGCCTGCAGGGCAAGCCACACATACATTTGAAGGAAGTTTGAATGATGAAACCATTTCTACAAGTCTATTTTAGAGAAAAATTCACATTATATATTGGAAAAATACTACAGAAGCATTTTGGGAGTAGGAAGTTCTGAAGTTAACACAGAGGATAATCAGTTATTGACATCCGGACCTTCCTGGGACAGAGACAGCCAGCTGGCACGCCCCTCTTGACTGGTTTCTCCTCCAGAACTCCAACACCATCCTCAAACTGCACACTCACACCTCCACACAGCCACATGCAATGAGCAACAGACACGCAATTGCTAGCTGGCTGTGCAGAGCTGTGGTGGGCACCGGAAGTTTCATCCTCGTCAAAGTTCCCAGAAAAACACTGGAGTCGGTGAATCCACAGGCCGTTCGGATTACCTGGTCTGTCTACTCACGTGAGAACCCTCGATGGGGCTCAATCAAAGTCAAGCGGGCTGTCCGCCCTGAAGGCTAAAACGTCCCTTTCTAAGCACAGTGCCAAGCACAGTGCCTTCTATTCCTCCTGCAGTTCCCAGCCCATCATTTTGTACATTTTTTTTTTTCCATCTCAGTTGTAATCCCCGTGGGTTTCCCATCACAGGGCACATTCTTATGCTTGCCTGCTCTCTCGCCATGCCTCATGACCAAGAGGCTCCTTCACTGCATCCCCTCAGCACAGTGACAGGCCACTGCACCTTACTTTTCACCCCTACCCTCAATCTAGTCCAAGCTCAGTTTTCAAGCTGCTTCCTGACTTTCAATCATAGCAGCACAGAGCTAAGCCACAGCCGACTGGATGTGCAGCAGCTGCTAATACTCTCCACCTGACCACTTTGGCAACTATTCTGATGCTCTCGACTTTAGTTTCACAATCCCTCAAACTTCCATTTTCAGTGGATAAATCTGACCCCTTCAACCCGACATCCTGCATACTGTTCTATCTTATCTTCAGCGTATTCCTTCCTACAAAAAAAGAATCTTTCTGTAGCCCTATCTTCTTCTCTCATCCTTTAGGATGGATTTTTCATTTCCTGCCTGATTTTTCATCTTCTCCATGACTTTGCACCATCAAGATTCTCTTTTACTTAATCTCATTTGCTTTCATCTTTCCTATCAGCTTGAGTACATGCTCAAGTCATAACTGAAAGTTCTCCCCAAATCTGAGCCTAGTGTTATTTCTCTATTTCACTGTCCAAGAATCTTACAGGATTATTTACATTCAACACCTCCACTCTTACACTGGGATTCTTTGATCTATTTAAATCCTGGTGAGTGACATTCTGGAAGACCAGTGATGTCTGATTTAACAGCCTGGATTTGTGGCTTTCTCCCCATCATTCCTGCTCTTTGCTCTACAGCAAACCTGTATGCTTGCTTCTAAGTTAGATATTTCTTACTCCAAACGGTGACTGTTGGCTCGTCTGCTCCTAGATGAGGCCCAGAGCTTCTTAGCGCCAGGCACAGACCTATCCGCCCAGCGTCCCTGACCACCTCACAGCGACCAGGTTGCCACTGTGGCCAGACCTCCCCGTTGGCTCCTCTACCCAAGACTCCATGCTGCCAGCCACACCTCACTGTATACTTTGCCCTGGCCTTTCCAACCCTGCCTTCCAGGTACTTCCTTGCACAGGGCAGAAGCTGTGTGCAGCCCCTTGAGGCTTTTTGAAACTGGGGATGTTAATCACTACAGTCTTTTATGGAAGACAAAAATCTCTTCCAGGCTTCGCCCTTTTCCGCTGGTTGACTGGTAGCTCTAAAGGACGGTCAAGTCAGCAGACTCCACATCGGGGAGCTGCCTACAGCACCACTTTCAAGGTGGGGTTCAATTTGTTGTTCATTTTGCAGGGAAAGGACCACTCATCGGGTGCCCTCATCACCCACCCAGCTCAGTCGCACACATACAGAGCAGCACAGGGTCCAGAAGGCAGCTCTTCCAGCCACACAAAAGCATATCAGATGGCTGGATGTTCTTGCAGCCATACTTCAATTTCTCTTTTAACCTGGAAAGCATCAGACAGATGTACAGGGCCACAAACACCATCCAGGTACTTACTGTTTCTTGGTCTCTTCAAATTTGTGCAGCTTTTTGCGGAGACCTCCTGACTTAAAACCTTGGCAGTGTGCTGCTGGTGCTCCAATGGTGACGACGTCATAGTTCTGATCTGAATGACAGAAAGCTCGCCTCCATTACACGGGGCTCAAGCCTGTAGACAAGCCAGCTACAGGGATATGTACACAACTCTGCCCCCTTCTGCCCACTTAAAACCAGTCTGTGCTTCCCTTCATCCCGCAGCGTGAGCTGGCCAAAGGCATGTGGGACTAGCACCATCACTTCAGCAAAGCGGGGTTCTAATGTCCCAGGGGGGAGCCCTAGGGAGCCGCAGGCAACTGCCCAGCGACACTCAGCTTGAATCTCTCCTTCGGAAGGATGACACTGGGCAGCTTGATGCTGTAATACAATACGAAGGAAGCTGGAAGGAGGAGAGACGAGAGGAGGGACTTATGCTAACAATGACCTTAAACATAGTTTGGAGATGTCTCATCATGTGATGAAATGTGTCATTAAACATGTGTGTCCTGTGTTTTGTGATGTGTGAGTTGCCCAGCAGAACACAGAGTGAAGACTGGGGCAGGTGTGAGGCAGCTCAGGGACCAAGTACAGAGTGAGAGAAAAGAAACGAGATGTAACTCAACATGAGGAACAGAAAAATAATTACCCGATCCTCCATCGTCTTGAACTCTCATCCTTTGTATGTGCAAATTTGTGGGAACAAACTCTAATTTTTTATCTGCTTTCAAACTGCTTGCTTTAAACGAGGGACCTACAAAGGAGAGTATGAGAAAACACGATCAACGGGCATCCTGCATTCGTGAATAGTCAGCAGACGGCAATGCTGCAGGGAAGCAGACAGCTGTTGGTAACAGTCAAGAAAATTCTGAGTTTCTCAGGAGCACATTTCATTTCCAGAGAGCAGGTGGATAACTGCTGTTAAGAAGGCAACTCGCTGGCTTCCCATGATTCAGTTCTCAGCTAAAAGATCTGACACAAAGAGATGATTTGGTGTAGCGCAATGTCAGCACCTCTAAAGAAAGCAGATGGGCTCTTGCTGGGACTACATGTTCTGACTCTGGAGAGCCCATCATCCAGACTTAAGAAACTGATTCAACTGCAGAACACACATCACAATTCTGAAAAGTGATGAGAAGGTCAGCTCATCACCCAGATCTACTCAGATGAACAAATGCTTTACAATGTGGATTCTGGCCCTGAAATACAAAATTTAACACTTAACTGTGTTTATATCTGGGTGACTAAGGAAGCTGTATAGTGTTATGTAAATAACTAAACAAAGGACCTCATGCCCAGAAATGAAAGGGGTTATAAATTAAACTAATAGTCCCAAGAGTAGAAGAAATAAATACTCCACAGAGTGAAAAAGTAAATTTATTTTGCCAATATTCATACCAACCCTTGTCTAGTTTACATTTTGTCACAAGAAAGTGTTCTCTAGAGCCTCATACTGGTGACAAATCAGCAATATTGCATCTTGGAACTTGTTATAAATGCAGAAACCAGATCAGTCTTTTAACAAGATTCTCCAGGGATTTGGTTGCCCATAGACAGTTAAGAAACTGCTTAGGAAACTAAAGATTGTTGAGTTTCCCACTTGGCCAGGCAACAAGAATCCAGCATAGGTAAGTCCCTAATTCCTTTAGGCACATTTGTTTCCAGAGAGCAGGTGGGCGAACATATCTCGGGAAATACACTTAGACCTTTTATTCATATTCAGGTTGAAACCAGGGCATCGTCATCTTGTCACCATTCCTGTATTTGCGTTCTTCCCAACCATGTTCATGGACGGTTCCTATATTCTGTGTCAAAATCACATGAAGGGCCTGTGATTTCCCAAAAGCCCTAAAATTCCATTATGTAGAGAGGAAGGAGGAAATAATCTGATGATAGAGAATAAAGTGATGAAAACCAAAAAATTCAGTCCATTTGGAATAAAAGGATAATGAGTTAAGCCTTCTAAATCTAGCCCAGAGTGTTTTAAAAGCAAATGGCAACTTTCAAGAAGTAAAGTTAAATGGCTTTATTTCACTTTCTCTTTGAGCCTTAAAATGGGGCATTCTACCTAGATAACTCATACGTTCAACACAAGTATTACTGAATATCTCAACTAGAAAACCACTAGTCTCAAGGCAAATGCCTACACCCATCTTTTTGGTCCTTTGATTGAGATGAGACCAAGAGGAAGAAACAAAATAATCTAACAGCCTAAGATTTTGTCTCTTCTAAATTTCTTCCCACTGTTGTTTTTGGCAGATGACACTATAGAGGGAATTTTCAATGCGATTCACAGATTTATCTCCTTAATTAAAATCTGAAAAACCCATTTTTGAAAGAATTCACACCTACATGAGAATCTATTTTTAAAAATCCATCAGAGCATTTGTCAGTGAGAGCATTTAAGCAACCTGGGCCTCCACACCTGTAGCTGGGGACATGGAGAGCGCACACGTGCTGAGAAAAGGACGAGCTCAAGCACCCACCTTTGTACTGATGCAGGTCAGTCAGGTTCTCCTGGTACGTGAGGATGATCGTCTGGTACTGAGTGACAATTTGGCGCCGCAGGCTCTCCCAGCAAGGGGACAGCTCCCCCAGCTCCTCCAGCTCGCACACTCTGCAGTCAAGACACACACATCAGGTTGAGGAGATGGCTTACTTCCCAGGAAGGCACAGGAGTCCTGGCCGAGCAGAACACAGGAACATGGAAGTGCACCAGTGCCCGGTGAGGGCACAGAACAACTGCAATGCTGCCAGGCTAGTGGGCCAGCAGAGGCAGAGTCACAGACCACTCAGGAGTGGGTATGTGGAAGGCAAGGACACTGACATGGGGAAACGTGGAGTGTTTTATAGAAACCAGTCACAGGCCCATGGAAAACTAAGCGGAGAGGAGAGAGGCCCTTGGGGTGGGCCACTCAGACCAAGGCCAAGCTGCAGCTGTCTGCGTCTGTGCAGAGAAGAACACGTGAGTACTGGCATCCTGTAGCTGACTCCTCCAGGGCCACTTCCCACCCAACTCTCTCACCTCTCGGACTGTTGTGAGCCAGTCTCCCACTGCTCCCAGGTTCCAGTGAGGTCTGGGATCTTTGTCCTCCACTAGAGTCAGAGCTGCAGAATTTAAAGCTGCTCAGCTGAGTCTACAGGGAGCCCAGCACCAAAGCTACAGCTACCTGGCCTGCTTCAGTGTTAACACTTTCAGGGCATGAGACAAGGACATTGGGAACTACAGAGGCTAGTCTTCATTTTGCTGTCTGTATGAGTGATGAACTGCCTAAATCTATAATGGAACAGTGGGGGAGGCAGGAAGAAGAAAAAAAGACTTGTTATTTCCAGAAAAATAAAAGCTGTGTAAGAACTGAAACAAGAATTTCTTAGCTCAGCAGTAAATAATAGCTATATATCAGAAAAATGAAAACACAAGATGCATGTTTTTAAAAAAGATAACCATATTAGTACAATGAGGAATAAGAAAATACAAGTGACCTAAACTCCCCATCCTAGGAAAGCATTCAGTTAGAAATACAGCAGCAAATGCTAAAACTGCCAAAAGTTGGTTGCTTCTGAGAAGTAGATCAGAAGAGATCTTTTGGTATTATTTGGCTTTTTATACCATGCATGGTTTCTTTTGAGGGGGAAGAAAGCTAATTTTATAATCTATTGAAAACTTTCAGGAATCTACTAAATTGTCTAAAGTTTAAAAAATATATAAAGTTGTACTGGGCCTCACCAGTGGCCTAGGGGTAAAGTCTCTGTGTTATCATCTCTGTGGGCTGAGTTTGGTTCCCGGCCCATAGAGATGGGAGTAGCCCATATATGGCCCAGCAGACCTCTCCAGTCTCACCTGCTGCTCCCCTCAGCAGTGTATTTCAGTAAATCCACGTGTCCTGCTCCTCACTCTGTCTCTGGTGAATCTTCTCGCCACACCCCCTACAACCCACACATCTAGCCTATACCCCAGGTCTTCTACATGAAAAAAAAAAATTGTAAATTTTATTACCTTTAAATTAGCAAAGTTAATGTAAAATGCCCAGTGCTGGCGAGGCTGGGTGAGCCGATATGCTTGTGCAATGCTGGGCAGCTGGCCCACTGGCCTCATGGTTGCTCATGAGCTTGGGCCCCGCCTGCCTCCCTCTGCCTGTGCTGCTGGCCCCTCTCTCTGGAGGTCCTTGCCCCTGTGTTTCACGCGTCTCCTTATGCTTCAGGTGTCACCTTAATGTCACCATCTCACAAAGGTCTGCTGGGACATTCTGCTTCTTTCTCACGGTCACTTTTAATTTCCACATGCGGCTAACACATCTGGGGCTCAGTGTGTGGCCCCTTAGCTCTGTTAGTATCTCCCACCATCTGTCTAGCTCACCAAGAAGCCTCCCACGATACAGCAAAAACCTGCCATGTGGTTGGTTTGAAAAGTAACAACAAAACCATTCAATCCACAGTACGTGTTAAATGAATAGACTTTTCAAAGTTATAAATACTGAGAATTATGACATAATTAAAAACTGTAACATGAAAACTAAAGATATATTGAAAAGAATTGAAGCTATGTAGATATGTTCAAATGTGGAAGAGTTAAAAGAAATATTGAAAAATTAAAACATAAAATATATACCTAGTTTTTTTAAATGGCTTGTTGCCATTTTTCTCTCATATAAAATGCTGTATTAAAACTAGTAGGATTCTGGTTGCATTGTGTTCTCTTGTGTTGTTATATTGCATCCATAATTAATGCTGCTTTGTGCAAAGAAGTAGCAATGGCAGTCAGAGGCAACTGAGAAGTGGGCTTTGCAATGCCCAAGCCACCTCTCAGGCCTCTCCCTGTCTAAGAGCCAATGATATATGCGCTGGGCCAAGAGGTGCAGAGAATGAGAGTGTCCTAGTTGGTTACAGTCAGTCTTCTGGAGCTGAATGGAAACCACTAACCCAAGCAGCTACATTTAGAGAATGACCAGCTATCTCTAACTTTCTAGGCTGAATGAGAGCAAACGGAAGAAGGGGAGGGAGAAGGTAATGAGAGCTGGACATGCTTCTGGTATTTAAGGCATACTGTCTATGAAGTCCTCACACAGCAACCTCATCACAAAGAGACCCAAATAGAGGCTTTGGGAAAGCCCAGCCACAGGACCAGTAAGTGGTAGACACTAGGTTTGCATCCTGGCTACCAGTACCAGTGGTTGACACACCGCATCTCAGAGCTTTCCAGAAAGGAAGGGTGAGCATGGGTCATGCATGACGGATGGCTGGCCCTTCCACTTGGCCTCACCTGGCTGCATCTTCTTCCAGGAGGAGCTTCACGAACTGCCGGGGCACATGCAGGGAGAGTATGCTTTCTGCCATCTGCTCCAGGATCCGAAGATGGTTGCCATCAGTGGTTGGGAATCGGTACATGCGGCAGATGGCCCCGCCAAACACTGAGGTGGGGTGGCAGGGGAGACAGAGGCTGTGTGAGCTGGGTGCAGACTCGCTGTGCAGATCCTCCTCTCCAGGACTTCAATGGTGCTGAACCTCTCAGGACTTCTTACTGTTCCTCTCAAGGGAATTAAAACGCTTAAACCAAAAACCCACCAAGGGGCTGAGCCTGAATGCCCCTCCTTCATCTCGTGCAGTCTTTACCCAGAATGTGTAACTCAACATGTAAGGGGTAGAGGGAGGTCATCAGTCACTAAACCCAGAATGAAACAGACTGGAAGGAGGCAGCTCTCCACTGGAAAACTACTGTCTTACAAACTGGCGAAAGGAACAGCACACTGATTCGAAGCAGAGAGGAAACAATCAGGGCACATGACGGTGACCACAGTGGCTATGGAGGAGAGGAGGAGCATGGGCCTGAGTGGGCATGAGGACCGGCACAGGAGGTAGCTTACCTGACTTCAGTAAAGAGTCTTTTCTCAAAGAAGCGTATTTGGATCGGATTCCCAATGCCTCAGTCAAGCTCTCATCAACAGGCAGAACCATCTAGTAGTAACATGAATAGGAAAGCTATGAAACTCACCACTCCAGAGCACTCGGGCGAAATGATGGCTACCGACTGCATAAAAGAACTCTTAGACATCCACCATCAACTTTATAAGAAATATGCTGTTCACGTCACAGACAAGTGAATCCACATCCCAGTCTACTGAACATATTATAGGCTATGCAGAGTGGAGTGAGCATATCTGGGAGTGACAGATAGTGAGAAAATAGCAAAGATAATCTGGGTCTTCACAAGCCACTTCTCTCCCTTCCTGACAGCAGCTCCACTGAGCCTAAAGGAGATCACTGACACTCTCCAGGGCTACACTCCTGAGGACATACTGTCTGTACTTGGAAAAGTGCTTGGGAGGTGCTGACATGTCCTGCAGGGGCTGCATAAAGCCCGGGTCCTGCCTTTCCCTTCCCTACCACAGAGGCAAAGTCAATCTGGACACGCCCCCTCACTGGTTCTAATGGAGAGGCGGCAGGAGGTGGGAGGTGGGCTTACCCTCCCATTCACGGTGTCTAAAGACCGGGTCACAGGGGGCCGCTGGTCTGATTTCTCCTCCATCTGCCAGCCGATCACAGTGATGTTACCCACACGGTCACTTTCTGCAGACCTGCAAAAAGCAACTTTGGTAAGTGTTGTTGCAACTGCACTCCTTTTTCTGCTTAAATGTAAAGCTCAGTCATCTCCAGCTGTGGGGTTCCTGAGAAACCAGAATCCAGCCAGCTGGGTCAGTCTGCCAGCCAGCATGCACTGGCTCTAGGGGTGGTACTGATGAGGGCTCACTGGGGAACTGCCTAAGGGCACCAGCCAGGCTGACCGTTGCCAGGGACACAGCTCAGACACAGGACTGGAGTGCACCCTCTTGTGGCACTGGACTATTTCTGCTCCTTCCCACCTCATGCTTTGATTAGTCCCAAAGCCTTAGGCCTGAATGCCAACAAGCTTAGGTCACCAAGAGTTTCCCAAAGCTTCTGAACCCTGATATGTTATAGCTGATGATACATCATGTCTAGACAGCTTCACCCCTAGAGTCTAGTCTCATCTGATTCATGTGGGGACGGTCCAGGGACACCCTGAAACCTCAGGATTTTTATTTAAGATATCTTAGCTAGGCTCTAAATTTTAATGTGGTCATGTCCACATTAAAATTTAGAGCCTAGCTAAAACACATGCTTTGAGATTTTCTCTTATTGTTCCCATACATGGAAAAGTCCTTCCCCAAGCTATCTGTTCAATAGCCACCTTCAGCTCCTTTTTAAAAGGATTTAATTCTGTCCTAAACTGGATTTAATTCTGGCCTAGGATATACCTTAATGTTTTTCTCCAACAGCCCCTTCCCCCACAAGATCCCTCTAATTTCCCCCAAGACTGTTCCTTTATCCTGAGTCAGTCTCTCTATGTACACTAGGGAGCTGCAGGGCTCTCATCCCGTCCAATGCCCACAACCCTATCATCAAAAGAAATCAATCCTCTGTATCAGAATTTTATTAGATATTCTGGGGTTTCCTGATTTTTAAATTATTAAAAAAGAAGAAGAACAACAACAACAACACCATGTTGGGGTTTAAGTATGAATACTCCAAAAATTAACTTGGGGAAGCGCTTTCCCTATGACATCTCTCATTTTCCCTCCAGAGACACAGTGGGGATCCCCCTCCCTCTCTTCTCCCCTCCATACATATTTATTGAATGCTAGACACTATCCCAGGCACTTGGGATAAAGCAGTAATGCAAAACAGACTAAAATTGCTACCCTCTGGGAAATTGTATTTTATTAGGGATGGGGACATTAATAGTCAAATACATTTAGTATCACTAGATATGTTTCTAAGTTTAGATCTGAATACTGCTGTGCTCTGTCTCCTAAGAGCCCTGCACACTTCCATTCCCTGATAGGCCCTAGGTCTTTTATCTTGCCCCAATGGTAACCAAATCTCTTTAGGTTCATCTGGGAAAGGGCAGGGTACTCTCTCAACATAAGAAATGAAGTCTTTCGTCTTCAGTTTCTGGACCTATAATTCTAGATTCTGTCAAAGGAACAAAGTTAAATACCAACCTTAGTGTTAAATGCAACCTATGATGCCTGTCCTGGAGCAGATCTTTGACAACAAATGTTCCAGAGCCCAGTAAATACATCTGAGGGAGAATGGAAAAGAGAGACAATTTTAGTGTGCTCACTTTGTTCCTGGTCCAATCACCAGGTCCCAGGAGAGTCCAGCAGGCTGATCCCCACAACACGTCAGACCCTCATCCTTATCTCCAAAGTCCAACAGGGATGCTCAAAAAGAAATTCCCCAAGGCAAATAGGTTTGCACATCAGTTAATTTGTGAGCCAGAAGTGAATCTTGTGCCCAGTTTTCATTCAAATGGTTATAGAACTTTAAAAGGAGGAAGAAATGTAACATGTTTACTTAACTGTTCCCTGAGATCTATCTTTGACATCATACACAGAGAGTTTGATTTGTGTCATCTGATTGATAAGAGAGTCCTGAAAGAAGGCAATACTGCTTAGAAATATAGGATTGTTGGTACCCTAGAAAAGAGAATAATCAGAATACAGTGTTAGGTTTTTAAAAGTAATTGCTTTTGAAATACATCAATATTTTCAGAGTGAGGAAGCTTAAATGTATGTACACAACCAAAAATCTGCTTTCTGAAAAGGAACAGTGCAACTGACTATTCTAGATCGAGATACAAAATGGGCCCACCACCCCAGGCTGTGCCCAGGGCTCACTGCAAAGGCTTCCCTCTCAGGAGAAGAGCTTTTCAAAAACTGAAACAAATTGAATGTCCATGTATATTTTCAGTCTTATCACTTCATTCCAGCTGTGTATTTGGGCCTTCTACTCTGGGTTATTCCTTTAAGATGACCATAAGCAGGTGGAAAAAATAGCTCAAGTTGTTCTCATTCTAGAATCTTGGGTTTGAAATAATTAGGGCCTGATCTTTTCAAGGTGGTCCTTTTCTGAAAAATAGTTGTTAGTTTCTAATCACAGGTGGCTATTTTGTGGCAGCTTAGCCCTGTGCCTCAAGCCCTAAAGTATCAATTCTCTTCTAAGACAGTGCTTAACTATCTCAGCCAAACAGTTCCTATCCTGCTGTGAGGCCTGTGCAGCTCCAGGTCCTGTCTCTCAATGTCTACTGGACAGTTCCTCCTGGTAATTGGCTGACACCTCAGCCCCACCCAGGCTCTGTGAGGCCTGTGCAGCTCCATGTCCTGTCTCTCAGTGTCTACTGGACAGTTCCTCCTGGTAGTTGGCTGACACCTCAGCCCCACCCAGGCTCCCTCTATCGGCCCTTGGTCAAGGTCCTCTCTGACTCTCTCTGAGGTTACACACCTGAGTTTCTGTTTTGGTGACTCCTTCTCTACTGTTCTCAACCACTCAGAGCCAACTTGCACTGGAAGTACACCCCCAAAGCCTGTCTCATATGCACCCCTTAATTGGACTCTTTGCACCACCAGTCAGGTCCTACATTACTCGCACACAACTAAGTAAGTGCCCCCTGAAACATATCCCTTCATGAAAGCCAGCACACAACACCCAACTCCCTAGCCTGACATTTCCTCCCCACTTTCCTCCTTGCTCTCCCACTTGTGTCTTTTGCATACACTGAACAAGTGAAGTTACTCTCCACTATCACATGATGCTTTCCTATCACCGTGCCTTTGCATGGCAGCAGGGTATCCCTGAGAGTTTGTGACAAATGCAAGTCTTGGGTTTAACCCAAACCTATTAGGTGAGGATTTCACTAAGCCCCGCCCTAGGAAGCCTTCAGAGCCTATCAGGACCTCATTCTGATGAGCCTCACCTGCCTATTCTAACTCTTCCACATGCTGCTGCATGCAGATGCAGCCATGTTCACCGGGGCCTCCCCACCCACAGGATGGTAGGACCTCAGCCTCAGTGGTCTTCTTTGTATTGTTCACAGTGCCGAGCACCATGCTCTATGTGTACTCAACAATGCTTAGAAAATAGAACTGTTGACACACCTGGCAATAAGTTTCCAGGAAAACAAAAGGGTGGCCTTTCTTCTAAGAGAAGTAGACACATTCATTTCCAACTCCCTACCCATAAGATGGTAAAGTTCCTGAGGGCAGGAACTGGGCTTCAGTGACCTCTATACAGAGGGATATGAACCCATAAGAGATATATATGTTTAACAGTTAACTTTCTCCAAACTGATTAATGTACACAGTTCTCTACAAGTAGCAGTCAGCTGGAAATGACAAGGAAGAATTAGATTTACCTCTAAAAGGGTAATCTAATTTATAGGATCATTATTCAAATACAAAGAGCAAATAAATAGTTAATCAAGAGCTAGTAACTGTAAAGGATATGCAAATATACATGGAATCCACATGAGAAAAACTATCACTATGAATGTTTTGGAAACACATGGAAAAATGGCAACAATTCATATAATTGCAGCTGTAGGAGCTCAGGTCAGTGAATAGCCCTCCCATCATGGCTGAAAATACAAGGGGGCTTGTCAGCCCCCAGCCCTGGGGGCCAGCAACACCTACCTCAATGATCTCCGTCTGTGCATGCTTTGTCCAGAAGGCCTGAGGAGGGGTGGTTACACTCACTGCTACAAAACTATTTGGTTTGCGATCTAGCGATGGAGTGTGCAACTCACTGCAAGCTATAGGAAGATGAGAAAGAAATGAATCTTTTAAGATTAAGTTCCAGTTAGTTCTGTTTGAAACATATCCAAAGAAAGCAAAAAGAAGTAAATGATATTCAAAGGGCTAAGATGATCATGCTGTCAGTAAACAAAGTGATTTTTAACATTTGAAACAATCTCTTTCCTCTTTCCACTGCAACTCATGACATCAGTGCCCTAACTGCAGATGAAAGGTTGAGCTAAGAAGGTGAACTATGTCCACGGAATGGAGCACTAAGCCAACAAGGTTGATGGGGTCTAGCCTGTAAGGCTTGACCTTAATAATAAATTGCACTTGTAACCCCAAGTTAAGCAGCCACAGAGCACAACGTAAAGTACACAATGGGTCTCTGTGTAGATGTATGTTGTAAGCAGATTCAAAGTCTGTAACAAAATGAGGTCTTTTAAAAAGATTTAAAAAAAAAGTCATTGTTCATTTATTTCCTTTATGACACTCATCAAATATAAGTTTACTAAAAATGCTACATTTCAGAATTAAAGGTACCCTGTAGAACTGTTAAAATTTGTTGTAGTAAGCATTTTGAAATAGATAACAAGGTCCAGATGATTCTGTTATGTAAGTGACTCACAGAAAAAATTATCATCTGTTACTAAATCTAATATGCCACCTGTTACAAAATGCACAATGAACGGAAAAAAAATACTGCCATTAGACTATGCTCTACTTGTTATGTAAGACACTACTGAACAAAGAGATATTAACATATGGAAAAAATACATCTTGAAATCGATGCAGTAATTCCATGCTTACAACAGTAGAAACAATGAGCTTTTTTGGTGAGGTTCTATTTAAATACAAATATTCAATTATTACCTTTTTAATTAAGAGCAAAGAACATTAAGACTTATGAACTTTATTTTAATCTTTCGAGAAAAGGTTTGACTATGGATACTGTCAGTGATTATACAACAATGTGACTACACGTACACATATAAAATACATTTAAAACGGTTTAAGAGAAAACTCTAATGTGATATATATACATGCTACCACAATTAAAAAGTAAAAAAAATTAACTCTAATTTTAAAAAATATGTATTATCTCTACACAAAATCTGCTGCATATACATTTTTCTCAAATTCAGCTGGAGTATTTTCAAGAATAAACCATATGTTGGGACACAAGTCAACTGTCAATAATCATACCAACTATTGTTTCAAACCACTAAGACTAGAAATCAATTACTTAAAAACTTCCATAAAAACATATTATTTATGGAAACTTAAATAATATGCTGCTTAGCAGCTACTGGATTAAAGAAGAAATTAAAACAAAATCAAAAAATAACTCAAGACAAATGAAAATGAGAACACAGACACCAAAATGTATGTGATACAACAAAAAGAAGCAGTCTTAAGATAATTGCAATGCAAGCCCACATTAAGGAGCAAGAAAAATTCCAAATAAACAATCTAGTACTACACCTAAAACAACTTGAAAAAGAGAAATAAACAAGACCAAAAGTTAGTAGAAGAAATGATAAAAAATCATTGCAGAAATAAATGAAATAAAGATTAAAAAGACTACACAGCGCCCTCCCTGGTGGTGCAGCTAAAGTCACTTCAGCATGAGTTGAATCCCAGCCCCGAAGGTGATCCACATGGTGCAGCAGATCTCTCCTGACCCGCCTGCTGCTCCCCTCAACAATGTACTTCATTGCTTTGCCTGTTCTGCTCCCCACTCTGTCTCTGGTGAATCCTCTCACTGCCCCTGCACCTCAGGCCTGTACCCCAGTTCTGTATGCACAAATAAATAAATCTTTAAAGAAAAAAAAAAAGACTACACAAAAGATCAATGAAACTAAAATTTGGTTCTTCAAGAAGATAAACAAAATTGATGAATTCATAAATAGACCAACAGAGACAATGTTAGTAATTAGAAATGAAAAAGGAGGAATTATCATAGATGGTATAGGGATACAAAGAATCACAAGGAATTACTATGAATACACCAAAAAATACGGTGACCTTGAAGAAACGGACAAACTTCTAGAAAATATGCTTTCCCAAGACTAAACCAGGAAGAAAGAAAATCTGACTAACCAATCACACCGTACAAATTAAAACAGTAATCAAAAATCTCCCCCAAAAGAAAAACCCCAGAGTCACATGGTTTTACAAGCAACTTTCATAAAACTGTTAAAGAGAACTTATGTACATTTGGTCCATATCATTTCTAAAAATCCAAGAATAGGGAAATCTGTAATACATTTTATGATACCCAGCATTACCTACACCAAAAAAACTAAATTAAGACAGCACCAAAACATACACAATTTAACAATAAAATTATAAGCAGCCCAATTAATAAGTGGGCAGTGGCTCTGAACAGATAACTCATCAAAGAAGCCAATAAACATATGGAAAAATGTTTATCATCACTAATAAGGGAGCTGCAGGTCAAAAGCACAATGATATATTATCTTACCCCAGTGAGAATGACACACAATAAAAGACCCACAACAATTGCTAGAAAAGATATGGAGAAAGAGGAATGCTATGGATATGGAGAAGTGGGAATACAGCCTGCAATTAGAAATAAAAATAGAGATTTCTATCAAGAAAATAATCTTGATAGCCCTAAAAAACTAAAAAGGAAAAGAACATGTGACCCAGCAGTTCTACTCTTGGGCATCTATCCAAAGAACATGAAATCATCAGTTCAAAAAATGTAATGCTTTACCAATGTTTATTGCAGCATTATTTTACAATAGCTAGTATCTAGTGATACCTAGTGATAACCAACTTAGAAGAGCACAATGCCTCAGAATGTTACCAGGAGAGTTTCACTAAGATGAGTTATTCATCATGTTCCTTTGTAATAGGCTATCATTGGCTATCACTATCTTTCAAGAGTAGCTGTAGTGATCTGCTTTTTGCTTCTAATTGCACTTTAACACTGTATTACCACAAGCACTATCTCTTTTTGTTAGCAATACATTTTTGTGTGTTTGTTCTATTCATTTAGATATACCCAGATTTTAGCCAGGCTGTTCCTTTTTTTTTTTTTTCATTCCTTCCTGCATTTGGGGCATTCCATCTAGAATCACCTTGCATCTACTGAGGAATACCCCCATTAGGTTGCCTAAATTGCCAAGTCTGGGTTTCACATATTCCTTCAGCTTATATGGTCTGAAATGCCTCCAATCCCATTCTTGAAGGGTATCTTCTCCAGGTAGTTAATTTTTCTCAGACCTTTGAATGTACTGTCTGTTTTTCACTGCTTCTATTTTTCTTCTGTTATGAAGTCAGTAGTCACTCTAGTGTTGCCACTGTGTGTGTGTTTTCTAGCAGTTTTTAAGATTTTCCATTGAGTTTGATCTTAGCATTTTTGCTATGAAACACCCAATTACATTTTCTTTTATTTTTATTCTATAATATGTACTAAGTTTGACAGAAATGCTTAAATATAGACATTGTTTCTGTACTATTTCTCTTTATGAATCTCTGGACACATTAGAAATATATATAAGACTCTGTTCTCTCTCACTCTCTTTTTTTTAAAACTCTTCGGGTAGTTTTCCATTTATTTCTTTGTTTTGTAAATTTTCTGCTTGACCTGTCTAAAAATCACTGGTTTTTTCTTTAGTTAGGTTAATATGCTCTTTAGATTGATTCACTCACTCAGCTGCACTTATTTTTAAATTCTGAGATACCCCATTTATTTCTCTTTATTGTTTGTAGTTCTCTGATGAAATGCTCAATAATGTCTTCATCCTTTAGTATAACTGATACTGTTATTTTAGCATTACTGGCTTTGAAGACAGGGGAAAGGAAAACCCATGCCAAGAATAGTGGTTCCCAAAATGCTGAAAGCCTTTCTAATTGAGAGCTAGCAAAGAAACAGGGCCTCGATCTAACAGTAACAAGGTATTAATTCCATCAACAATCTGAATGAGCAAGGAAATGGATACCCTAGACACGTTGATTTTGCTGACACTTTGATTTTGGTATTGTAAAACTCAAAGCAGAAATCTGACTGAGTTTATTAGATATCTGATCCATAAGAACTGTAAGACACTAAACCTGTATCTTACAGTTGTTGTTTTAGGGTATTGAATTTAGGGATAACTTCTTGTGGCAGCAATTGTGAGTTAATCCTTTTTATATTCAGTCCAAGAAATTAATGCCAATCCTGAAGTTTTTAAGTTATCATTTATTCTAGAACTTTTAAGGTTTCATTACTTTTGAAAGTTCTATTCTACATCTTCTACTATGTCTACCTCAACAGGAATTCCTGACTGATTTGACTATTTCATTTGTTCAGCTTTAAGTCCTTAAATAACCTTAGACTGGCCTTTCATTAGGTGTGAATTCCTCACATCCATATAAAAATGAAATATTTAGGTATTTTGAGCACTGGTAATAAGGTCTAACAGATGGACCAAGGCTGGGAAAATTGGAATCACATTAAGAAGTGGACAATAGCCACATTCAGAACACACTTTCCTATGAGTTACATTCTCTCCTGGCTCATCTTCCACCCAGTCTATCTAAATTTCTCCCAGTAATATTACTCCTACTTCAAATTCCATAGCTACCATGGAGCAATTTCTTAGATGCCTACAGTCACATCTCTATCTGTATACTTACATCACTCCTTTGGTATATTCCCATTTAAAAAAAACATTAATCTCTGATATGCATGCCATGTCTCACCAAGCAGATGATTTATAATTCCAGTGGAATAAATGCTGTTGAGTCAAACTGATAAAACATGTTTCAAGTATATATGATCTAATTCAGCAATTCTATGTTTAATCAGAAAAATTCATGAAAGATCTATGCACTATTGTATTTGCTCTAGTGTTTATAAAGGCAAACTGGCTAGAATCTAATGTCCAACTATAAAAGACCAGTTAAAATGAATATGCCACAGAAAATAATAGATTCTGTATAGGCTACCAAAATGACGAGGCCGATCACAGATTTATTAAAATGAAAAGAAGCTGCTGATATTTTGTTTCATGAAAAAAAAAAAAAAAAAACACATGCTCATTCCACAACCAATACTATTAAAAATCTCTATATAGCATTACACAGGGCTGAATAAAAATCTGAAAGAGTATATACCAAAGTCTCAACTATGAATTCTCTCTGACAGGGTTTTTTTTTTTTCTCTTTAGCATTTTCTGTGTTAAGTGTTTTAAGTGGGCACATTTGATTATTCCAAAGTCCAAAATTTAACAGACTTCCATTTTATTGTTTTTTATCTGATCCCTCTCTATGTTCAAATACCAAGACCCACAGACTAATTGCATGGCATTGAACTTGACCTTGCTAGAACAGTTTCCTCATGCCATATGGGCTGCTTCTGTCTTAGCAACAAAGATGATCATGGCAATGCAAACAAAACAAAACAAAACAAAATTTGGCAAGATCTGCAAAAATGTAATTGCCCTATTATGAAATTATTATTACATTCTGAAGTTTCCTGTGAATATACCTCCAGCCTCTGCAGAGCTAGAAGCAGTGAGGCAGAAACCTGAACTCCAAGCTCTTTCTTACACAAAGTTTCCAGTAAGTCTTTGCTTTTGTCCCCCAGTTTCCTCAGTGCCTTTGGGACAACCCTCTAGCCACGTTGCTTCTGCCTTCTCCACAGACAAGCTTCTCTCCATCTGCGTCCTCCCCCAAGGTTATATTTTGTGGGTTCCAAAAATGCTTCACTATTTAAGTTTGTATTTCTGTTTCTTCCTGATGTTTGGAATGACTTAAAATAACAGGATGGAAATTTGTTTACTCTTCTGTCACAAAACTGGAAATCCCTGGGTTAGCATTAAAATCTATAAAGAGCAGTAATGACATTCTAAATTGGGAGTGGTCATGTGTGTGGGCTTCCTCCCCATATAAGCCATTCCCAGCTGGCAACACACCACCACTACTCAACACAGAACCAACTATCAAGTCAAGGTGAGAGAAACCCTCTGAACTTGAAACATTTAACTTGAAATGGGGATACTTTCAGAATGTAATAATAATTTCATAATAGGGCAATTACATTTTTGCAGATTTTGCCAAATTTTTTTTGTTTTGTTTTGTTTACATTGCCATGATCATCTTTGTTGCTAAGACAGAAGCAGCCCATATGGCATGAGGAAACTGTTCTAGCAAGGTCAAGTTCAAAGCCATGCACAACCAGGATTGGAATTCAGGTCATCTGATTCTCTAAGAGGTGCTGCTTTTATGTCACACCACCTCCTGGGTACTCTGCCAGGTTACCAACTGATGCTGAGGCAGGAGGAGGAAAAGGGCAAGGAACACAGGAGAGGAGCAGGTTCTGGAGAACCTGCAGCTGCCCCCCCCCCCCCACTCTCAACCTCCTGCGAAAGGCACAGTCATGCCACACTTCGCTGATCCTGGAGCTGGCACATTCTGCTACAATTTCACTACATTCTCCTTCTGATGCTCCCTGAGAAGAGAGTACACGGGTGTCATTACCACTATTTAGGGAATAGGGAACCAGGGCAAGAAAGCCAAATTCAATCACACAGGACTTCCCGGTCAGAGATGGACAAAGCTAAGCTCAAACACAGCATTCTGAGCCCTTCCTTCTCAGTCAGGGAGGAGGGCGAGGGGAGAGCCTCTCTCTGCAGCTCTGCTGGGGAGGGGTTTGTAGTACATTTGCGGCAAGTGGTCCCCAAGGTTCCCTCCCACCCACAGGAAGTTCACACCTGCCTCAGGGCTTCATCTTCTCAGAAGCACTTTAGCAGTGGTAAGCAGCAAATTCTACAACATGAATTTGTATCTGTGGTCATGTTTTTGTTTACAAAAGCAACATATATTTTAAAAGAAAGAAATATAGAAAAATCACCTACCTAAGCTGAATTCCAAAATGGGCTCATCTGGATCTTGTATATTTCCTGAATAAAAAAAAAAAAGGCAGGGAAAAAATGACCCTTAGATTTTATTTAATGAGCCCAAAAGCTTGTCCCCTCAAAAACTGTTACATTACGGCCCTCCCTTGTGGCGCAACGGGTTAAAGCACAACACTAAGAAGCTTAAGCCACTTCCACATGAGTTCAATTCCCGCCTGCCCTGGAGGAGACCACATGGCGCGGCAGACCTCTCCTGACCCACCCGCTGCTCCCCTCAGCGGTGTACTTCGTCAATCTGCCTGTTCTGCTTCCCGCTCTGTCTCTGTTGAATCCTCTCACCCTCCACATTTCTGGCCTGTACCCCAGTTCTATATGAATAAATAAATAAATCTTTAAAAAAAGAAAGAACTGTTACATGACATGATTTGTTTTCCAAACTTTTGCTTCAAGCATTCCTAAGAAGCTGGAGACAGAAGACTGAAGCCTCCTCTTGGGGCCAGCACATCCACAATTGGGAGGAATTTTATCATGGCCCAGGCACTCATCAGATGACCACTGTGGGCTTTCCTACATTAGCTATTGGCAAATGAGTCCAGCAGGTGCCTGCCCAAGCTGGAAAGTTGAAGGCAGTCAGCCCTAGCGGAAGCAGTTCCCTGCAAGAGGGCTGAGCTCCCACTTCCTATACCCACAGTCAGCCAGAAAGGCGCCATACCAGGCACTCTCCAGGCTGGGGCAGTCACAGGAGGCTGCTCCTGTCTGTTTGCTGGTTCCCAGGAGGCAGCTCGGCTCTCCCAGCACTGCAACAGTGTGCGACCTGCACTCTGTGAGTTGGTACTAGAGACCTGGCACTGCCCTGAGGGCCTCACCTGCAAGAGAGAGGCCAACCATGTCGGCTGCCACATCAATGGTGGAAGCCCGTTGCATCGCACGGGCCCGTGAGCCATGGCGAGGGCTGTGCTCTCTAGCTGTCATGATGTCATTGGCAAAGACGGACTTCCTGTTCCTGGATCAGACCACACCTGATTCCCTGGGAAGCACTACCACCAAGCCCTAGTCCCCTAAGGTGGTGGTAGTAGTCCTGCAAAATAGGAACAAACTCGAGTAAGAAACATAGGAAAGCTGACCAAGAGGCACAATGTACTCTTATGGAAAAAAAGTACCCTAAAATGGGCAGGATACAGTGAACCTGGGGTATGATGGCAGGTGAGGAGACAGACGTATATTCGATCTACAGACTCTTCTGTGAGCTCAGTCTCAGCTCCATCTAATCATTTTTCTCCAAACTCCCCAACACTCTCTCTCTCTCTCTTAAACACACACATACACACCCCCGCCCCAAAGGCAATATGCATAGGATCTCATAAAGAAACCATGTGCTCTTAAATGAAGTGATGGTTGAAATATAATTATAAATATCAAGTTTGAGCTTTTTGTTTGATTTATTATCCTTTTCCACTAGCAAATCTCGTAAAATCTTAACAATTGTATTATTTATTTTATTTAAGAATCTTTAAAATTTGAAAACAATTCACTGTAACCTCTACTGGAAGGGTGAAAGATGCACAAAGAGGTTTGCCGCCCACTGACTATAGCAGCATTAGAAAGATAAAGGCGCCTGTCTCCAGCCACATCTCTTTCTTCCCTGAGCTACAGAAACTTCACTTGCATCTCAGTCTCAGATTTTCTTTCCTGCAAAACATGTAAGTGATAACAGAAGCCTAACTCAGGGCACTGTGCTGTGCTGTGGCAGTGGAAGACTCTGGGTAAAGTCCCTCTGCAGGCTGAGTCACGTGGATGCGCTAGCAGAGCACAGAGCTCACAATCTTGTCTAAGAATGTGGCTAAGAATCAAAAAGTTTCATTTTTCAAGTCCTATGCACTACAACTCCTATTGTCTCTGGAAGGAACCAACCTTTAGAAGTTAAAATAATTAGACCCACCCTCTCCATGGTCTCCAAAGAGCCAGACTGCCCTGTCTTCTCGGAGACTGTTCAAACCTCTACTCAGGGACCCTGCTCCCACTCCAGAAGTAATTCACCCAACAACTTACTGAACATGTTTGCTCTTGGACCAGTTGAAACGCGTGGCATTTCTTCAAAGAAGTACATCCAAATTCATCACCTAAAAATAGAAAATCATAAGCTTAACATCTGGCCAAACATAAGTACGTTTACATTATAATTTCAATGCCTAGAAGGATGGAGAGGCCAGAAGTTATTACATGTTCCTCTGAGCTTCACACACCAACCCAACCTTGTGATGCAAAAAATAAAAGTATGAGAAACAGAAAGTACGTATTTCTATCCCCCTATAGCACTGAGCATAAACATCAGCAAAAACAGTGCACTCAGGCTCTCCCTGGTGGCGCAGTGAGTTAAAGCACAGCACTGAGAATCTAAAGCCGCTTCCGCATGAGTTCGATTCCCGCCTGCCCCGGAGGTGACCACATGGCGCGGCAGACCTCTCCTGACCCGCCCGCTGCTCCCCTCAGCAGTGTACTTCATCGATCTGCCTGTTCTGTTCCCCGCTCTGTCTCTGGTGAAGCCTCTTGCCACCCCTGAGCCTCTGGCCTGTACCCCAGTTGTGTATGCACAAATAAATAAATCTTTAAAAAAACACACACACACACACAGTGCACTCAAGCAAACTCGGTTTCCCTAGTATGATGTGCTCCTACCCCTCTCACTAGGGACATCCTGGAACCATTAGTCATCCTGGAACTCACCTAGCAGAGAAGGCAGTGGCCTCGTTAGGGAGCCACACACATCAAAAGGCACTCAAGACAAAAGAGGCAGTGAAAGTGCTAATGACTATGAAAATTCTTACAGCACAAATACCTATATTTTAAGATAATGCTTGTACAAATTTCACTGCTAGCGACTCTAAAAAAGCAATCCAGAATGGAAAAACAAAAAGGTTTATGCCAAGTTCTACACTGTGTTTGTTTTGTTTTTAATGAAGTATTCAATCTGTGCTCTCATTAGCCATTTAAAAAAAAAAAAAAAAAACAGGACACTCCATCTCCCAAACTCATATGCTGAAATTTAACTCCCAATGTGCTGGCATCTGCAGTACAGTCTTTGGGAGCTGACCAGATAATGAGGGTGCACCTTCACGAATGGTATTAATGCCCTTATGAAAGGTGCCCAGATGGTTGCCTTGCTCCCACAGGTGAGAGCGCAGCGAGGTGCTGTCTATGGCCAGGAAGCAAGTCCGCAGCAGGCACTTGAGTCTGCTGGCACCCTGACCTTGGCTCTCTCTGCCTCCAGTCATGAGAGAGAAATTTCTGTTGTTTATAAACATTCAGTCTATGGTATTTTTGCGCTGGCAGCCTGAATCTGAATGAACTAATACACAGATGTAGTGTTAATGCTCAAAATATATAAAGAGCACGTTAGGGAGGCTACGGTTGCTCTGCTCAGAACAGTGGGATCATGCCACCAAACGGGGGGTCACAGCTGTGTCTTGACATTTTGCTGCCCCAAGGGAAGGCCCAAACCTCCTTCCTTCCCTAACCTCCTCTCTTGCAGGTTCCTGTCCACTCCACCTGCCTGGTGGTTGTTATTACAAGCAATGAAACAGAAAAGGGGATAGAAATGCTTAAAGGGGAACATTTACTTTAACATTAATTTTACTCTTGATAGAGTTCACAGATCAGAAAAGCTTTTAGGTCAAAAAGACCTTGGAAGCCACTTCATAGTCATTTGGGGTCATTTAATTAAAATCTGCAATTTAAGTCATCAAGACTCAGAACATGAGGCTAATTTACAAGGCTGAACTTGATTTCCCATATTAGTATCACTAATTTAAAGCAATTCGCCAAGGATTTATATTCCCAAGGTCCCTGTTTTTCCTCCTAGCCCCATTTGAAGACTAGAGCTCATTAGGCAGAAAAGCTACACTCAAACCAAAGAGGACAGATAATGTATGAGAGTTGGGGGCTGGAGTTTTCTTCTTGAGAGCAAGAAGAAAGAGGCAGTAACTCATGAAGCTAACCGCTTCCTCTCTTTACTCTGTGAGAGATGTATGGCCCCTTCTGACAAGAAGACACATGCCACTAACTCACTAGCAAACCCAATGATGTCTCTCTCCCATGTGAGGTAAGGGAGAGAGGAGTAGAAGGACAGCAATACAAGGAGGGATATGATTCACACAGGTTTGTGGGATTAAAGAGTTGGCAATGATTGTCAGAAACTTCTCAAGGAACCATATTTGAGAAAGGTCTGCCTATCCTCCTCCCCAGAATTAAGGAACTTCAGGCCCAGAAGAGGTTTTGGAGCCCCCTCTGGCTCAGTTATCTCATGGACCTCCAAGCCTGAGGGGAGGGGAAGAACTAACCACACAGTTGCACTTTCATCCATTTTGTACACTGAGGTTCTTCTGAAAATAAACTTTAAAAGGAGTAGCATAGACAGGCCATGGAAGCCCAGACAGGATGACTTTCTCTCTCTCTTTCTCTCTTTTTAAAGATTTATTTATTTATGCATACAAGTACTAGTGTATAGGCTAGAGGTGCAGGGGGTGAGATGACTCACCAGAGACGGCCGCTCAACTGAAATATATTGCTGAGGGGAGCAACGGGTGGGTCAAGAGAGGTCTGCTACGCCATGTGGGTCAGCTCCATGTCTGGGGATGGAACTTGTGCTGCAGTGGCTGCAGATAGCTTCATAGTGCTGTGCTTTAACCCCTTGCGCCACTAGGGAGGGCCCCAGGATGACTTTCTCAAGGTGTCATGGAGGTAAAGGATGAACTACCAGAATCAACCCAAAGTAAAAAGTCCAAATTCAACTGTGGCACCATTCCTAATCCATTCCACTCTATCCTGGTAACTGTGGGCAGCAAAGTGGCTAAGAGCAAACCTTCAAAGATGACACAGACAAGAGAAAGTCAGATTAGTCACAGCATGACTCAGTAGCCTCTGAGAAGGCTACTCTAGGAGTCAGAAACAGGAAGAGTTTTCTCTCAAAAAACCTCTGATCTAAATTAACCACAGTGAGGTATAATCTCACACCAGTGAGGATAGCACATATTAAAACAAGTAGCAACAACAAATGTTGGCAAGGATGTGGAGAAAAAGGAACTCTCCTGCACTGCTGGTGGGAATGCAAACTGGTACAACCACTATGGAAAGCTGTTTTGAGGTTTCTCAAGCTGCTAAACATGGAGCTTCCATATGACCCAGCAATCCCACTCCTAGGTACCTAACCCAAAGGACACAACAACACTGATTCAAAAGGACACCTGCACCCCCATGTTCACTGCAACTCTCTTTACAATAGGGAACGTGGAAACAATGCAAATGCTCAAAAATAGATGAATGGATTAAAAAGATGTAACACATATCCACAATGGAATATTACACAGCAACCAAAAAAAGATAACTCACGACTTTTGCAGCAACATGGATAGAGCAGCTGGAAGTGAAATAAGCCAGAAAGAAAGAGAAAAATACCAGGTGGCTTCACTCACAGCAGGAGCAATAAGGGATGAGGGATGGGGGTGAGGGACGGGGTGGAAAGAAGCAAAACAATGAACAACTTTAAACCAGAGACAATTTATGGGGTGGAAAGGGGAATGGGATCAAAACTGGGGCAAAAGAGTGTAAAGGACTATGGTGAAGGCACAGGGGTGAACTGGTGGTGGGAAGCCCATAGGGATTACAACTAAGATGGAAAAATGCACAAAATGACAAATGATGTCACAACAACAACAAAAAGGGCGTCCCTGGTGGCACAGCGGGTTAAAGCATAGCACTAAGAAGCTAAAGTCACTTCAGCTAAAGCCCCTCCCCAGCGATGACCCACACGGTGTGGCAGACCTCTCCTGACCCACCCACTGCTCCCCTCTGCAGTGTACATCATCAGTTGGCCCTTTCTGCTCCCTGCTCCTCTGTCTCTAGTGATCCTCTCACTGCAACTCTGGCCTGTACCCCAGCTTTGTATGCATAAATAAATAAATCTTTAAAAAAAAAAAAAAAGAACTCCAATCCAGGACAGCCACAATTCCTGATAGGAAGCATCACAGTCACTGGCAATAGTTACCACTAACACGAGCCATCTTCCCACGGGAAGCCTTCTCTCAGAAGCTCCCTAACAGACAGGGGGTCTGCCTCTTAAGGTAACATCTTTGCTTATGGGAGGATCACTGGGCACCTGTAACTATGAACCCCAGGTACCTGATTTCCTCTAGGCCTCTTGGGTGCCTAGCACAGACCTCAGCATGACTGGGGGTCTAGCAAACACCTCTTAGGAAAATAAACTGTTGAGGTCTATGGCAGACCACACTTGCTTACAGTGTCTGCCTTTTTCCTTGCACCCACGCACACGACATATTACTCTCTCAGCCCTTCTGATTTGGTCAAGGTGTGTGACAGAGGAAGACACAGAAAGGCTGCAAACCAGCTTAGATGTAGATGGTAAAACTGCTCATGGTGTCTCCCAACTCTTTCTTCCTTGGATTTCCGGCTGGACGGAAGTGATAGAATGGATCATTCCAGGGCAGGGGAGTGTCACTCAATCAAAGGAAGTCGAGTCTCTGAGAGTATGTGGAGCACAGTCCCCATTTCACACCTCACCCCCACATGCAACCTACCCTGGACTTAACTAGAGTGAGAAATAAACCTTTGTTGTGTGAAATCACTGACATTTGAAGATGGTTGTTATGGCAGCTAACGTCAGGCACTCAATAAATGACAAAAAATGAAAATAAAAACTACCAACACCAAAAGCTCTGTTCTCCAGATAAGGTAATCCAGTTTATGAGAAAAGAGTCTACAGGTTGCAGAGAGCCCACCACCAGGCTCCGGAAAATGGGAAGAACACAGAAGTAAAAACACTTTAGTAGGTAGTTAACCAAACAACTTCTCTAACCCCTGGCCAGGATCAGGAGGCCTAACATCTCCTGCCTTGTACCCAATGTCCAAACAACTCATACTCTGCAACCAGGCCTCTGCCCAGCACAGGGACACTTGGCATATGACCTTGCCACTGATGTGACGCAGAGAGGCTGGTAGGGCAGGAGTGGGTCGCTAAAAGCAAAAGCAAAGCAAAAAGACAGGGTCTAGACCCAGTTAGAAAATGACAGCAAGAACTGTTTTATTTTTATTTGGCCACCTTGGGAAT